AGCTGTACTATAGTTATACTATATCTACTTCCTTTTAGTGTCTTAGTAAACCTATTTACTAAGAGGATTTCTCAGATAAACAAGTGTTTTAGTGTTTAAATCATCATGATTAAATCCCTAAGAAATTAGGTCTTTAAATAATTATCATATCATTTAAGTGAAATTTCTCATATAAATAATTCCAATATTTCCCCTACAGTTATTATAAAATAACAGAAAATTATATAAATTTTCTATAGACTTAGATATAGAATCATAACGTGTATAATCTCCTTTTGTTTGACATCTGTCATATTAATGACGTATTGAATGACGTATTGATGTATTGAATTGAATTTTGATTATCTATCTCAACTGTCAACATAACAAATACTAGCAAGTTTGTTTATTTGTATTTGTTTAATATAATTAAATATAAAATCATCATATATCAACCGTAATATACAACTAAATTATCAGTGACATAAATAATCATGGTTTACACCAGAAATAATTAATAGTATCCAGTAATGCTGCAGTTTTATATTCATATCAGTAGCCAAGCTTACTTTCAAATTCAAGAATGAACAGAAGATTAGAAGTTTAACATTCTTATTGCAATTGTACTTGCAATAATATATACATACAGTACTAATTATCAAGAACATTCCTCAAATACATGTGTGGTGAAGATTTTCCCAATATGCTATCTATTTGATTTCTAACCTCTAATGTAAATTTATTAAAGAAGTGAATAATCAGTGTTAGTGTTTGCTTTATTGATATTTAAAGTAATTGTCCTAACTTGATATTAATAGGTTCATATCTCCTTGGATACAGCCCAACATATACAACTAACTCGATAATGAAATTTATAAAATACTAATATTATATTTTACTACTTGTATATCTCCATTCTATCCCATAAATATTTAAAATATGTATATTAAATATAAATCCAATAAAGATTCACTAATATTAACCCTGTCTGAACTTGTCTAGTCAATATAGCATAAACAAACAACACACATACAAACCTTATCGCCATGACAACTTTCTTCCTAAATATAAGTAAAATACAGAACTCATACTTGTCATTTAGTACTAATTTTATACTGTACATGAGGTACAGTTACCTAGTTAATAGTAATTATAGTCAGAGAATCCTTTGATAATTTTATTACCACTAGGAATTAAATCCACACCTATAATATCAGCATAATTAAATATTATTAGAAACCAGTAATACACACAAAATTGTTATTATCAGCTTGTTTACTACAATAAAATCAATATTAAAGTTTATAATAAATCAAGACAAAATATCTACTTAAACAATACAGGCTTGTTTACCATAAACATCCCACCGTTACATGAATTTATCTACTAACACAATAATGTATTAAAAGTAATACATTCACATAAAATCACCTGCAACAGCTAAGCTGTTTCTCTGTACATCTGGTGTAAAACAAATTCCCACATGTAATCATGGATAATTAAAAGTATACAAAAGAATCATTAGTACAGTTGACCGAGCAATGGTATGAAAACACTTTACCATGAGACGTTAAGCATGAGCAGGTGTTCCAAATCAACACTGTAATAGTGTAATAAATACAACTATTCCATCATCATCATCGTCTCAACCATCACCAATCCACGACTGAACACAGGCAATTCCCCATAGACTGCCACTAGGAACGGCCCCAAACTCCTGCACCCACCGAGTCCCCACAATACACTTAAAACAGTCACTCCAACCAATGGAGGCAGCCCTCACCACACTTGCATATACAGAGTCGCCACTCAATAACCCCTCTGTCTCATCAATGGTTGTTTCCCCAGCAATGAGACCAGACCACAGCCACCTCAGTCTATTTATCCTCAATAAATAAATAATTTATAGTAACTAGATATGAATTTAGTTAGTATTATAATAGTTTAATAGTTGATTCAATAAGTATTTGCCAAAACTGGACAATTAGAATATTGAGTCAAATCGATGAACTTCTATCAAACGACCATATAGTTGGATTTTGCATATGAGTAGAATAACGTAAGTATGTTTTATTACGGAAATTATATTGATGTAGAATTTTGTTCAAATGTGATTGCATTTAAAGATATATGCATTACCTAAAGGTATATGGACTTGATTAAATACATATTTCAATAGTTCGTGGGAAAATATTAAGTAATATAAACATTGCCCTGTGATCACAGTCAAAAATCTAACTACGTAGTAATAAATGGAACAAGCTCACCGGATTCTCCAGTCTTTCATTGACTCTTTTCACACACTTAATCGGTAGTGATACACTAAGATCTCAAACCCCTTCATCGATCCAGTCCCTCCTAGATCTATTTCCTAGTTATTTTTTTATTTTATTCCGCAGTTCCTTAAAACACGACTCCCGCGCCATTTTCTTTTTCTTTTTTTTTTTTTTCTTCTATTGCGCAATTCCTAAAAAGCGACCCCCGCGCGCCCGCCGATCTGCCGTCTCTCCTTTTCTTTCTATTTTTTTTTTCTCACCTAGTAACGTCATAGATTATGTCACCGAAGGGTAGATATTTCAATAATCGGATTTAGCCTATTATTCGAACTGAACTTTTCTTTAAATTCAATTTAATTATATGTTAACGTATTTTGGTATTTTATATTAAATTGATTATCGAATTTATAAAACTTTAAAGGCTCTCATAAACCTTATTAAACTGTGTTATATGCATCCTTTTTACACCTGATGAGAAAAAGGTAAACTATAATTTGGTTAATATAAAATATAATATATTTTTGTTTAATTTATTTAATTTTCTTGTGACGTCCACTACACTCTGGAAACACATCAAAGGAGTTTCCCTTCTGTGTCAATATTTCATATATGGTAACGTCTTCTCTGTATACTATTGTGAACCTTGACTTTAAAGTTTGTTTATATTAAATAGCTCAGCTTTCGCAGCGGTCACCCATAGGAACCCCTGTTTCTTTTCTATGTACTTATGGTATTAAACCTATTGTACTATAGGTGAACCGTCACAACTTGGCCTGTTACAAATGATACAGTAGTGTCAAGGTTTAAATAGGTATGTTAATTTAAACATATATATTATTCTAATTAGATATTGTGTGCATGTACCTAAAATTAAAGCTAGGTAGATATATTGTCAAATATGATAACATCTTATTTTTATTACTTAAGTAACGTGCTAATTAAATTTTATAAGTATGTTTATACTAATCATAAATTAGTTGAGATACAGCATTTAAATGATTTAATAATAATTCGTAATTTCCCCTATAACTTAAATCGTAGATAATCGCATACAGCGCGGTTTCAGAGTTATTTCCTCCTACGAACATTCAGGCTATGCAGTGAGCTCCCTTCCGAGGTTTTTCCAAGAGACCATAGCATGGGGCACTTCAAAAAAAGGATAAAGAGGTTTCTTCAGAGTCGGCAACGCGCACGAAATGTCCCTGATATTGCAGACATTCGTAGGCTACGGTAACCGCTCACCATCAGGTGGGCCGTAGGCTTGTTTGCCACCTCAATAATATAAAAAAAATGCCGCAAAATTCTATCTATGGTCGTCGTATTGTATTTATTCAATGGACTCCATCGTGCTGTTTATATATTATTACTATTTTTAGTCGATCCCTGTTTTCAAAGTTTAAAAACCATCTATAGTTTGTTGTTACAAAAAGGTCACCGACGTCTATCGTGGCTAAACCGGTATTTTGATTTGAAATCTTCAACAATTCACAACCGCTGAACTTCTTTTAAATTTTCCAAATCGGTTTTTATAAAGCCAAAGTTCTGAGGTAACAAACATGAAAAAAATACTCAGTTTGCTGTAGGTAGATTTTTAATAAAAACCCTAGTATCTTCTTAATTAGATGAAGCTTAATACAATACTTAATACCTAACCTTAATCTGGCGAGATATTTTATAATACACTTTGCCTTGTCTATAAATTTGTAGATAAGTACACCTATATTAATGTTACTTATATTTACTGAACAAACAGTTAATACCTACACATTTATTATATATTTGTGTAAAATTGTATGTTGGTTTCGACATACAATTTTACACAAATATACATTTTTTCTGCGACGTACGAGTAGTTATTAAATTACTTATCACAAATAAATCAGCTCGCTACGTAGCTATAAGCAAAGTTGTGATAACCTCCTTCGTAATAGGCAATAGTAATAAGATAACGAAAGGGTAATATCCCCATTCCAGCCACGAACTGTACGAAAGAATGATGTAAAATTATTAATAAAACAATGTCCATATTTGAGCTTTTAGTCAGAAACTTTCAATAGATTTGTATACTATTGGCAAAAACAATCATACTTCTTTATAGTATTAGTATTAAGTCATAAAACTAAACAATTTTCTTCATGGGATCACTAATCTGTTTTAAGTCTTTTTCAAAAGGAAAAAAGTTCTCAATTCGTCTGAATGTTTTATGTAACTATGTTACATTTTCTTCATGGAATGTTGTTTAATTTCCAAAATAATATCTTCAGAATGTTCATAACTTTAAATTGACGAAGTATGGGTACATCGCAATTATCTTTATTATAATTATTTGTCAATTTTCAAAAACAATTTAATACTTATCAATATTTTTAATTAATTATTTAAAAAGTGTTCTGTTAGCGATCTGAAACGTTAATCATGCTGTAGTACCTATACTTAATAAGCTATCGTTGGAAATTTAGATTTTATTGGTAAAAAAGTATTTAAAAAATTCTAAAACGAAATAGAAAGTAGGTGCAAAATTTTTAACAGTAAATATATATGTATATATGTAAGATATACCATTTATATATATTAATGTTCTAGTTCGTAGGCAGAGAACTTTATAATAATCAATCAAAAATATTAAAATTGTTCAATTGTTTTTAAAAATTTACGATGTAGCTCTAAACTTCAGTAAACTAACGTTATAAATAATTTTAAATCTTTAAATTGTTATTATATCTACATAAATAATTATGTTTACAGACAACAAGTTGAACGAGTGAACATAGGGTTCGACAATGACAAACTAAGCTATCAGGAGAAGAACTATTTCAGATACTTACCCGAGAAATCCGTTGGGGCATACTTCGATAAAGTTTACGTACCAAATCTACCGTTATTGGTAAGTTATTACTTTTATACTTTTACTAGATTTTACCCGCGACTTCGTCCGCGTAACGGGGATAAAAATTAACCTATGTCTTTCTCCATTCCATATAATACTTGTGTACTAAATTTCATATTAATTAGTTAAGCAATTAAGTCACCAGAGGTAATAAACAAACAAATTATTTTTTTTTTGTCTCCACCAATTTACAATTTTTATCAGACATTTAAAGGTTGCCTGGAAGACATCCCTTTTGTGAGATAAGTCTGCCATTGTAGTTATTCTTTTTGTAAGAACTCTGTATCCTATAATTATGACTTTATTGTAAGGTACCTGAGGTAAATAAGGCCCAGGGGGTAATAAAGCCCACATTTAAAATTTTGCGGAAAAACATTTCTATGACACTTCACAGTTTACGCACACGTGCAAAATGTCGGTGTGAATGTTTCCGTATTGGTCCGCAGTCGCTAGCGCCGCCATCTTGCCAGTCACGTGCGATGCGTTGATGAAATGGTCGGCTACTGTGCAATTTTATAATTTTTATAACAAGAAACTGTAAGTATTTTTACGTTTAATTCAATAATTGACTAATAATGCTGTATTTATTATCTTAAGTATGTGTTGTACAAAACAAAGAATATGGTTTTCCCTATCCAGAGAAAGTGTTATAAGGTTTATTAGGTTATTTTGTAAAAATGTGGCATGAGGTTAATAAGGCCCATTATAACGGTACTTGGGCCTTATTGGCCTCTTTATATTTGAGTATCAGATTGGATTTTTTTGTGTTCTAGGTCAATTTACTATGTGAATTTTACTGACAATATATGTGTAACATTGTTACAGATTTTGATTAAAATGCCTCCAAAGAGAGCTCAGTGGACAGAAGAGAATTTACGGGCCGCTTTGGCGGCAATAGAACGAGGGCAGCTGACGCAACGAGCTGCAGCTGAACGTTACAACATTCCAAGACGAACTCTCCGAAACCATGTAAAATCAAAAAGTATTATTAAGCGCTTAGGTCGTAGGTCTATACTAACAATAGACCAAGAAAAAGATCTTGTACAACGCATTATACGATTTGCTAACATTGGTGTACCTGTCACTCCAAAAGTCATACGGAGACAAGCATTTTTATTTTGCGAGAATTATGATATTAAGCATAATTTTAATAAAGACTCTGGCATTGCGGGCAAAGACTGGCTTAAAATGTTTTTGAAAAGGAACCCAGAAATTTCCAAAAGAAAAGCCCAGTTTATGAATCCAGGCAGAGCACAAAAATTAAACCGTCCTATTGTTGCTCAACATTTCCAAGAAGTGAAAGACCTATATGAGGAATTAGACATTCTACAGAACCCGCAACGCCTCTATAATATGGATGAAAAGGGGTGTAGACTCACTATTCATCATCAACAAACTGTTTTGGCGCAAAAAGGAGCTCGTCGAGTCCATTTGATTGCACCTGAGCACGCCGAAAATGTTACCATAGCAATGTGTGTTAATGCTGTTGGTACCGCTATCCCACCAATGATCATCTTTAAAGGCCAAAGACAAAAATCAGAATATAGTGATAACTTACCAGCTGGATCTCTCGTAAAGATGGCTCCAAAAGGAAGTATGACCACGGAGTTATTTATAGAATTCATCAAGCATTTGGGGAAGTATAAAACGCAGGGGAAAGTCTTGTTAATATTTGATGGAGCGTCCTCGCACCTGGATTATACAATTGTTGAAGAAGCAGATAAGCATGATATTGTGCTTTATTGTTTGCCTAGTAACACAACCCATGAACTTCAACCCCTCGATAAATCCGTTAATAAGTCTTTTGAGCATCACTGGGATCAAGAAGCTATGACATACATGTATCAAAATCCTGACAGACGCTTGACGAAATCGAACTTCAACAAAATATTCTCAAAAACTTGGTCAAGGGCATTGATTCATGAAAATATAATAAATGGATTCCGAGCTACTGGATTGTTTCCATTTAACCCTGATGTATTACCAGATGAAGCATTTGCACCAGCGATCTTGACCGAACATCCTCCTCCACAAACTTCAACTATTATTGAGGCGAACGTAGAGTACCCTGAAGTAACGTCACGTTATGACACTGTTTCACCATCAATACTTAACAACGAAGAATGTACTATTGCTGACATTGTTACCCCAGAAAAGCAAATTGCTGTAAAGGCTTTAACTGATATTGCTACATCAACCTTTCCCGTAAAAGTACCACAAAGCAAAAATACAAATTGCAATGCTTCAACTCTATCGCCAAAACCATCAACATCTGGTATTATGACAAAACGTCCTCTTATTCTAAGTTCAGACTCAGAGACTGATATTGAGCCTGACGCTGTACAGAAGATGTTGAGTAGAAATGATCACTCCAGAATCAATATATATACCTACGAAGAAGACTCAGACGATGATACTCAGCTAGCCAGTCTTAAAACAAAGGAAACTAAATCCCCGTTTCAAGAACTTATGCCAACTCCAAACTATGCTGTAATCAAAGAGAAACCAAGAAGAAAAGCCATCAATTATAGGGGTCAACGGATCACTAGGGACCTTTTTAAGAAACGAGAAGAGCTAAAAGAAAATAAGATGATAAAGGTGAAAAAATCAAAAAAAGCCAATCAAAAAACTAAAGATCGTAAGAATAAGCCTGGAAAAGATAGCAGTAAGGTTAAGAAGTCAAAAATAATTGAATCTGAATGGTTCTGCCATGCTTGCAAAGAAGGACGTGTTTCGGACATGCGACAATGTGTCCAATGTTTTAAATGGTACCATGAAGAGTGTGTCGGACTGTCAACCGACGATAAAGATATGTTTTATTGCTGTGACTGTGATTAAACAAGATACTTAACTATATCTTACCGTCTCAGTATAAATAATTTGTTTGTTAATCGTTTTTATTTTTATTTTGCTTGTAGAAAATTTTTTTTTTTTGTTTGTTTTGAGAGTCTATTTTTTTATTTTAGGAATATGATTGTGATACTAAAGAACTGAATTAGGTACCTTTAATTAGAGTCTGATTTTAAGTCTTAAAAATTTATATAAAAGTAATTATATTGTTTGTTTAATAAGAAAAGAACTGATTATTTAAGTTTTCAAAGTTACAAAACATGTTCTGATTGTACTAAGTACCTTAATTAAGACCAACTAGTTCCTTGAAACTAAATTGTCTACGATAATTATAAAGTGGGCAACAAGGCCCACGTTTAATAAATAAAGGAAAATGATTAAATAAGTAAAAAACAACAATTTACTTTTATTTAAACTTATTTCTAGGTAAATTTAAGACGATTTACTGTGAAAATAAAGCAAATTTTATATGGGCTTTAATATACTACCGTAGTATAATAAGGCCCCTGTGAAGGGTTTTTAAAAAGTGTATTTTCTTATTAAAAAATATGCTTTTCTTAATAGTTTTACACCATTTATTACAGCAACATGTACAAGCTATGTAAACAATATGTTTTTGACGTCCTATACGCATTACACTCGGATTTAAAGCAATATTATTTTAGGTGGGCCTTAATTGCCACCGGTACCTTACAATAAAATGTTTCAAACAAACAATCAATTTTGACATTTATAATATTAAGTAAGAGTAACGCTTTTGGTTCATTTAAATAAAAAAAAAATGTTAAGTCTCTTATAACAAAATCTACTAATACTAAGATAATCTAAGTGAAGAATCTTTTTTAAATTCGTCTCTTTGGTACTTCATAGAGATTTAACATAAACTATTGTCAGTGACTTAGATGCATTACTTGTTTGCCAACTTTGAGGTATAAAAAAATTATAAACATAAAATTTGGTATAACGTTTTAATTTTTCAATTACTTTTTTTCAGGGTCTAGTGGCAAAGACCAAGAGCATGGATCTGAGCACGATACAACAACTGACGTTACAATCTCTACTGAATTTCGCGAAAAACCATGACGCCTTCCTCGAATTACCTGTGCACAGGTAAGGACTACAGAATACAATATTGTTCTATTGCTTCTGTATTGAAGTCAAACTCCAAAAATAAATGGGAATAAAGCCTTTTATACTCACTGGACTGTATTGCATTAATTTCACACAAAAATCATATGAAACCAGCATCTAACAAATTAATAAAAATTTAATAGTTAAAATGCTTTAAAATAGTTACTAAAAACTAATACCGATATTTATAAATCCTATATAAATATACGTCCCTACGTACTTCCCTTCAAAAGCGATTGTTAGCCATCCAGATTAAATCCTGTTGCTAGCATTTTAACCTGTCAGGACGACCTCCATGAAGTTGTCCTGAAAGTCATTGTTTATTTTGTAGTGAATTCGGCACGATGGGTCAACTGCCTTCGTCCTCGTCGTTTCGTTCTCTAGTAGTGCCCCGTCATTGTATACCTTAACATAGGAGGAAGAACTATTCCGTTTTCATCCATTAAAAAAAAATTATACTGTGTCTCTCCAATAGGTTTCTGTGGGGTTATGACGACACTATTATTGACACGGCAAAAATTTTTCTCAAATGGAGCGGTGAGATGAAGTTTGACAAGTTTGGACTTCTAGCGCCGGTATGTAAACCTTATATTAAGTTTCTTTATAACTAACCTAGTATTTACTGGGTACAAAGGAATAACACCTGAGCCCTCAGAAATGGCAACGCATGGGGATATCATGGGTGAAACAGTATACTCTGTTATGTCCATGGTACTGCTCATGTCTATAGACAACGATTACCACTATCTATCAGGTGAGCCGTCAGCTTGATTGCCATTCTAAATTGTATAAAAAAATGTACAAATATTCATAAAATAAATACATATTAATATAGTATTTATATATTAATACCTATTTAAAAAATAAACATGAATTGAGCTACTCAAAAATGTTTGTTGTTTCGGAAATTTTGATTCACGAAATTTCTGTTCCAATATAGTACAGCTAACGACATTGATTTCATTTTATATATTTATATAGCTGTATCCCGTGGCTTTGTCCACCCAAAACCAATACGAATAGATATGATCATAAATACAAATACCTGCGGGAATTGAACCCGCAACTATCGGAAAGCGACGTGGTGTATTAAATCATTACCCTACTAAGGTGGTCAAATATGTTATATACCTGTATATTATAATCTGTGATCAATATATCTACCTGTCTCACAAACACATGTTTAGTTTTAACTAGGTATTGTTAAATTTTATTTCAAATTTTACAGTTTTTACCTTTAGTTCTATAGTTCTTAACATTCTATAGTTTTCTTTCAACTTCTCAAAGGCTGGCTGTAAGAGATCCCTCTGTGGGATAAGTTCGCCATTGTATTATTATTTCAGCCATTAACTGTCCACTGCTGGCCATAAGCCTTCCCCTTAGGAGGAAATTTGCCAGTAATTGCCACGCTTGGCAGGCAGATTGGCAACCGCGCTTAGGCTTTTAGAGATGTTTTAAGAGTGATACTGCTACCGATCCTTTGCCCTCCCTTAGGCGCCTCTTACGACACCCACGGGAAATGAAGGGGTGGCCCACTCTATGTCGAGCACACACGATCGCCATAATATATTAAATCTTTTTATGTGTCCAATATAAATTATGTACAATAACGATTTTACAACAACAATAACCCTGTTCTGTTTTTTGTTTTCAGAAAAATGACACCTTGTCCGAGCATCTGACCATCAACACAGGCGAGATAGCCAAAGACAAGATAAATGTATTGGAGGAAGTGGAAGGCAGTGACCATCTGCCGTATTGGGACAGCCCACAATGCAACAGGTATGGTAATTTGCATGTTTCCCATTTTTAACTGACTTACCTATAAAAAAAAGGCGCGGTCTCTTAGGTAAAATATCGTACAAAGTCTCTTATTTGCTAGTTAATATTATAAATGCGAAATTTTGCAAGGATGAATGGATATTTCTTACACTTTCGCACAAAACCCACCGAAGGGATAAGAATAAATTTTGGTAGATATATGAGTTGGTTATATATTAACTTAGCAAATACAATACTTTATAAACCGATTCACGCGGGCAAAGCCGCGGAACTCAACTGATGCTAAATAAATCAACAAATTTAGTTTTACAACGTGCACTTACATTATATGCGGCTTTGAAATATTAATTTCAATATAGTATAAAAGGATATTTAATTTAATAAAAAGATTATAAACATATCTTAAAAAATACTTTTTCGGTAGGTACAAGGCTTTGCCATGTTACTTTACTAAAATTTTTGACATAGTTTCAACTAACTAATAATATATGCACATAATTATAAAATACTTTGTTGCAATTTAAAAACATGAAAAACATAACGAAGAAAACGTAAGAAAAAATTAATTATTAATTAATCCTTTGAACTTCGAACGTGAAAAAACATTTAGTGAGCCTGCATAGTGCAATCAACCATAGAGAATAAATAATTATCTTTTCAGTTGATTGTATTCATAGACCATATTGGTTCTGGTTTCGCTCAGAACAGTGAGGTCCTATGTCGTGCTATAATAAAAAAAATTATCATCAGCTTATCAATTAGTAATGATTTGAATGGTGGAATATGGCAATAATATTACTGAGTACTAAGGCGTAATAACTTAGTCCATGGATATCACAGTGTTTTTTGTGATGTCCATGGTACTTTTCATATGTAGACATGACCAACACCATGATCATGTTACAGGTGATAGTTGCCACGTTCCATCAATGTTACATATGTACATCATCATCACGTTCCATCATCCAAGTGGGCCTTCGACTTGTTTGTAATTGTAAATATCATAAAAATATGAACTTAAGCAGCCCCATTACTAGATATATACTGTGACAGGTCGACCACCACGCGATTCCACTTGAATATATATTTTTTTAAATACTTGATGATTTCATCACTGACCTTTTTTTATCCTCACATAGGTGAGGTGATAATAGTATCCCTAACTGGCACCAATGGATACCGACAGATCAGGCGGGGTTTCTATACCATTATCTATCTACGTAGTCTATATCTACGTGTATATATATATATATATATATATATATATATATATATTACAGTATTAAGCTATAAGAATGATTTAAAATAAATTAGCAGACTATGTGAAAGATGATACGATTATTATATATTATTATTATACCTATAACTACATACCTTATCCGCTAAAGTTATCACGCACTCCACCGAAGAAGAAACACCAGATTATTGTCATGCTATCTATAAAGCCATGTAATATTTCAACAAGATATAAATGCACATAAATAAGGTCATAAATGTTACCTACTTATACCGGGCTCAGATTCAAAGTAGGCGGATACATATCTGATTTTTTAATGTTTGATTGTATTTAAATCTTATATATAAAAAACTCGTCTTACTATGTTTGTGTTTAAACTCCTCCGAAACGACTCGATCAATTTTTGTGAATTTTTCTATATATATTTGGTAGGTATGAGAATAGGTCATAAAGTATATTTTACACCGCCAGCTGATTAGCGTGTCAAAAAAGTGCGTTTATATGGCAAAATCTCGTTTGCCGGGTTAGCTAGTAATATATAAACATTCGGACCTCTTTTTAAAATTTATAGCTAATCCAGCTTTTGGAAAATCAATGAAAAACATCCAGGTATATAGGCATAAAGCCATAAGAAAAACAAAGGAAACATATACCTATTTAATTGAAACATAAACATATTTAAAGGATAATTTAAACTCAAAATATACTTAGCCGATTTGAAAACTTCTTTCACCTATTTTATTATTTAAAAAAAAAAGTGTACGAAATCAGGACAGATCGCTATCGCTAGTTGCGTATAATTTGAAATTTATGATATTGCCGACTTTTACATTACTATATTCTATCGATTGCTAAAACTTACCAAAATTAATAAAGATATCGCGTAACAAAAAAATAAAGCCGAATTAAACGAAGTCACGTAAAATCTAATTAACTGGTTTGTATCTAAACGTATTGTTATAATATTAATAATATAGTCTATTTTAATGCAAATTAATCAAAAAAATAACCAAGTTTTATGGAAATTGTTAAAGAAATACTCTCTAACTGAGTTTAGTAACAAACCGAAACATTAAATTAATTAATCGATTTTCTGTCTACCATATGGTCAAGTCAATTGTCATTTGTTTACATATTCATTAATTCGTTTATTTAAAAAAACTTTATTGACCAAATTAATTATAGATATAAATTGTACTATTACAAAAGGCGGATTTAATGCTACCAGTCAATCCTTGGAATGATCTATGAATCATAATATTATAATATAATATTAGTAAAAAAAAAATACAAATTGTCCGATAAAAAAATACAATAATTTATTATTAAATGTATTACTCGTGTCAGGAAAATTATACAACAATAAGGGACTTGCAGTGATTACACCTATTTTATCTCTTTTGTCACTAGACTCATAAAGTAATAAGCATTCAATGTAGGCCATTGATTTGTTATCTGTGCTCAATGAGAATCTTTAGAATAATGTAAGAGATATACCTAATTGAGTTCATAGGTTTATCTTCGGAGATAATTAACAGTTCAGTTTCTCGAGAATCAGGGCCGACTACAGCGTAATAGAAAAGTAAACAGAAATATTGTTGCCCCTTATATGTCTCAGTCCCTTCCCTTCCCCTTCAAAATTAAAATTGGTAAGCTTATTTTCGGTTTTTATACTCTTTCTCATATCCACTTTCTTTATCCTATTAATATTACAAATAAGAAATTTTGTAAAATCTCTTTTAAAGGATTTAACGGATTTAAATGACATTTGCTACATAGATTAGTCGTATTTTTATTTCCTACAAATTAGTTTGTCCTAATTTACGCAGGGAATTAACTCATCGTGTATAATCTCTCACCATCGACATGGGATTAATCCTCACATGTTAAAACCTAAATGGTTGTATCCAGTGCGGTTTCAGAGGGTTTTTTCAATTACCTTCAGTGTTGAGGGCGTCCATAGGCTACAGTGACCGTTTACCATCAGATGGACTGTATCTATACTCTATATAAGAAGGGAGAAAAGATCTGACCGCCCGCCTGATAAAAAATTACTGTTACAGTAAAGTACAGTTACTGTCGCCCATGGATATGAACACCTTCAATAATTATCAACTTTATATAAAAATATAGCTATAACATTTCAAACTTATCCTTAATGTCTAACAAGAGTTAAGTTCTAGCCCTATTTAGTACCTATTTAAGCTATTGAAGTGTTTTGTCTTATCCTTTTAAACAAAAATTTTAATTAAACAGGAAGTTATGAAGCACCTGAGTAAAACAGCTAAAACAGGTTTATAGGGGATTATAGAATTTTATTTTTTATCAGGATTGCCAGATGCGATTTTTTAATTTTACCCAAATGTCAAACGTTTTTTCCCCAAATTGATACGATTTCCTTTATTTTTACCTAATCACAAACTTGTATCGATTTTAACCAAGTTTTTCTATATGCCACAAAACAAACGACGAAAAAAAAGCCTTACTTTACGTTTCCACCTTGCTCTCCTTCTCTTATACCCTCCTTTATTTTGCTACCATCATTGATATTTATTTCTTTTATTTAAACTTTATCGACCAATAAAATGTGGTGCATAAGGCGGACATAATATTACAAACATTCTCTATCAGTCGACTTTTACCATGTACAGAGATATTTCTCGTATTTCTATACCGCTGTACGGTTTACAAAAGTGTTAAAAAAAACTACCCAAATTACTCTAAGTCTCTAAGACACTTTTCTCCAAAATTTCGCGAACAAAAAATGTTTAATCAAAATTACAAAAAAAATACAGTATCCAATCTGCCATCGCTGGTTTTTTATAGACAAGGTGGTAAATCGTTATCAATTAGTTTAACATTTTAGCAATGTTATACCTACTCAAAATATTATCAGATCCCTGAGGTCGAAAGTTTATACAGTACTGTGATAATTTACTTGCAATAATATATTAGCAATAATAGTTTTTCAGTTCATAAATTTCGGTATCAGTTGTTATGGCGCCTGGGCTTTAATCAATATAGGTACATATAATTAAACTGATAAACTGTCAGGATCCATAATGATAGGAATGCTCTAGACTTCATGATGAAAATAATAAAAACAAATTTCTTCAGCTTCACTCGCCATTTAGATAGTGAATGATCGAGCGTGTATTACGATTAATTATCTAGACAAATAACAAAACTGTAACCTGTAACTGTAACTTCGTTACTTTTGCACATCGTGCAAAAGTAACGAAGAGATGTTTAATGAAATTTTGGTGTATGAAAATTTTTTACCTAATTCATCATACAAAACATTAGATAAGGTGTTAATATAAGCGTCTCACTCCCATGGAAAAAATATAAGACTTCACTAAACTTACGCAATTAGTTTACTCTGGTGGGGTATCGTTAAAAGATGATATATGAGAATGAATTGAAGGCAATTCGCCCACCATGACTATTTTTTTTTAATGGGTGAAAATGAAATGGTAACCCCGCTTGCGCTATCGGTATACGCTGTCGGGGCAGTGAAAGGTGATAGCTGAGGATGAAAGCACAGTTAGCCCATCTTGAAGAATTCCACAAGAATTAACTACGATGTTTTCCAAGGGGAACCGCATGGAGGTTGACCTGATAGGGTACATGACTAGCAATGGAGCTGTTAGACCCCATTACATTATTAACAATCCCTCCCCCCCCCCCCAACCATGACTATTACACCAAGATTAACCATAATGATTTTCGGAGGGACCACATGACAAAATAGGTATATTGCTAAGAATAAGGACTCTATTATTACCAATCCTCTCCCATCAATAAAATTACTAGGTACATGCATAATAAATTTAATTATTTTATTTCAGCATCGACGCTACAGATGGGACAATGTTCCCCCCGTCTAAACTAGACAAGAAAACTAAGCTTCACGTATTCTTCCCTAATTTGTGTCGTCGCCTGCCCTACCAATTTGAAAAAGACGTAGAGGTAAGAACTTCCAAACCTTAAATTGTTTGCTGATTTATTTTACAGAAAAACTACCTGATGTAAAATATTGATAATAATACTAATTAATCTGAGTGATAGTGGTAGGCTCGCCCCTATCACATTAGATAAGGTTATTATATTACGATAATTAACGTTATTAATAAAATTTGGAAAAGCAAACCAGCTCAAAGCCCAGTTAATAGAAAGTGGTAACCATCGCCTTTTTAACTGAACAACACTGTGTAGGCACAACAAAATACGTATAAAAGCATCCTTTATAAGAGAATTGGATCCATTCTGTAATACCTTTGCCTCTAAAATTACAATTCTAATTAAATAGTTTATCAAAACTATTGTGATAAGACTAAGGGAAATTGATAGTCGAGGGATGGGCACCACCTCCCTTTTAAAACATCACCGAACCCTAAGTGCGGTTGTTAACCCGCCTGCCAAGCGTGACATCAACTGACGAAGCCTCTTAATTGGAAGAAGCCTGTTGTTCAGCAGTGAAGTTAACCCTTCTTTGCATGTTTTCTTTTTATTGGTGAAATAAATCAAGGCGATATAATTCATGTTAAAAATTAAAGGAAAATTGTTAAAAAAATAAATTTGACAGCTATGGTTTATTTTGCAAAGGACATTAAAAAGGTATCCAGACACGGTCAACTTAAAGTGAAATTGTTCTTTTATATAATTTTTGGGCATTCAATGTTATGATGGAAATTTCCACCATTATGCAAAGAAGGGTTAACGTCTGATATGATGATGATGATGATGTTTATATTTTAGATGTTTGGATGATTGATTATAATTTTAGCATTTGTCATATCTAGGGGGCAGTCTACACGTTCAAATCTAGGTACCATCAATGACTTATCTTCGTGATTATCTTGCTTGACAGATCGACGATATCCCCCTTCTCCGGTACAAGATGCCAATCAATGTTTTCGACGATCCAATTGGCAATCCCGACAATCAGTGCTACTGCCATGTGGATACAGCAACTTGTCCGCCAAAGGGAGTCATCAATGTCACAGCTTGTACAATGGGTGAGTGATATCAAACAGTGATGCGATGCGTCGAAAACAACGCCACTCATTCGGATTTAAACTACCCTATCTCTCAAATGGGAGCAAATAAACTATGTGTGTAAAGATGTATATATATGTCTGAATAGATTATATAGCTAAAGTTTGTAAATTAGTTAATACGATTTGTAAACAAAAGAGGGCCCGTGACTTTACGATACGTACAGGGAATCCTAGTGTGAAGTCTTGGGAACAAATGTATAAATGTTACATGTCTTTTTGATTTCAATAAATATTATTATTGTTAACTAATCATATTTACAAAATTTCATTAAAATCGATTAAGAAATTTCTGATATTTGTGTAAACCAACGTTTATTTTACACGGGATTTTATGCCGTTGAGGTATTAATTAAAAGAGATAAGTGAAGGTTATGTCAGGTCACTTTGTCATCATGTGTACCTCTGACTCTTGTAGCGTTACCTATATAATAATATATATTTATATATACACATGTGTATCTATATAATTATATATTCTAGCCATTAACTGACTATTAGGTATATATATATATATATATATTTATTATGCAGTCAAGTCTGTTTACTACCTTTATAGTTTAATATTTGTGCATCGACGAATGCAGGATATAATAAGTCACACATTCTGTCCATTTTCAGGTGCTCCAGCCCTGGTTTCGTTTCCCCACTTTCATCTAGGCGACCCTCGGCTACGTGAGGACGTGACCGGCTTACACCCAGATCCCCTACTGCACGAGTCGCACTTCGACATACACCAGACATTAGGATTGACACTTTATGGAAAATCCAGGTAATTATTTTTTATAAAGCTTAAAATGTTAAACAAGCTGAATACCGACCTGATGGAAGATCTCCTACAGACGTGGATAGGACCGTAAATATAATAGAATATCACCGTTCATACGTTGCCATTTTTGAAGAAGTTAAACTTCCGTATCTTATAATTTCTCTACCATAACACCTTTCGAAAAATATATAATATATTACCCACCCTTACTTCGAACCGAAATACAACCATGTAGATAACAGCTGCTTTACATCAGAAAGATATGTGCCCAATTTTTTCGTTTTAGTCAAGACTTTTGTAGTCTCCCTCTGGTTTCTTATAGCTACTTCAATAACAATTATAGAGGTAGGTAGGTCCTATGTCTTTTACTATTACTATAAGTACTCTGTTGCATAATTAACGTATTTTATATTTCAGTTTACAAATCAATATTGAAGTCAAGAAGACGCCCATGTTCACGGCTCTTGGATTTCTGAAGCAAGGAATCATTTTGCCTGTTGCGTGGATTGAATTGGTAATAAAAATAATTGTTTATAATAATAGACTTATTTACCAACGAAATGAAAGATACTTTGCATTTTCAACCGGCTTCAAATCAGAAGGAGGATTGGAAACTAAAATTAAATTTCCCAAAAGATTACTGACCTCCCGGATAGAGGAATTTGGGATTGCATTTTGCAGTTATTTCAAATTTTCTTTTGATATATTTTTTTCCATTTCCATAAATATAATAACACAGTGGAAATTTACGAAAGTTGCATGTAATTTAAACAACAATAAAGACTAAAAAGTATAATTCGAATGTAAAAATGCATATAAAAGTTTGTATATTTGTCACATATAAACGATTTGAGATTGCACGGATTTAAAAGATATATAAACCGCAGATAATTTAAATTAAAAAGTATGACAATCGAATCTCTAAGATCAATATTTTATCCCTTTTATACACTATAGTTTTAAGAGCCTCTTATTTCGCTTCCAAAACGAAAGATCATTTAAATCAACCAATCAATCCAAATCCTACTTCCTAATAACAATGTTTTCTTACTCACTCACACACTTAAATAGATTTGAATTTAATACACTGATAGGTTATATCCTTAACATATAAAATATTTGATATAATTCACGCGGGCGAAGTCGAAGAAAACAGCTAATATCTAATAAACGATATTATCTATTTACAGAGTGTGGCTGAACTACCGGAGAGTATAAAGACATTGATTTACCACGGCACCTACTCCACGGCCGCAATACAACTTATCATTAGAGTAATATGCATACTTTCGCTGATCATATCAGCACTATGCTTATTTACACTAATCTTCGGCAGAAGACCGAAGCCCTGCGTATCAATACACCACAAGCCCGAAATGGAAAAGATGCAAATGTCTTGAGAGAATAAACTTCCATGTTTTGTGTATTTTAATGACTATCCTCAGTACCAAAGTAAATTGTAAAACTATAAAATATTCAACTTTTTTTTACGTGCAGCACATGTAAATAATATTAACATTTATAGTGAGTCGTGTAGTCGTGTCATGACTGGACAATTATCGTCAATTAAATGTGGTAAACGATCTTATTCCTAAATCCAATAGTACTTTGGCATCATTTTTTTACATATCATAATCTGTACACATGTTATCTCATTCTTTCTCATGCGTACAGTAGCGTAAACATTCAATACGTATCGTTTACCTCTCGCCAAGACTCCTTATATGGGCACATCCTGTATGATTGGCAAATGCTGCATTATTTGTAAAATTTAAAAATAGACTGTACGAGTAGTGCAAGATCTAATTAAAAACCTAGTGAATTATAAAAAGCGACTTTTTAAACGTGCCTTACACACTATAATGTGACGAATTTGCCGCCCATATACAATCTAACTGCGTTATAGTAGTTGTTCATTTTATATAAATAAGCTAACTACAGCGACCACGTGATAAGTAGAAGAACTAAAACCTTAATTTTGACATGTAATGGTCGCCGTTTGCTCATCTACTGGTTATTCTATTTTCGAAATTCTTTGATGTCTAAGTGTTCTGGGTTATATCACTCAGAAGTTTCATTCTTTGAAAACGACAATTAAAGTTTTGGTATTAATTTGAGGGCCCAGCAATTAGTGTGTTCCTATTGCATTCGTTTATTTTTTTTTATTATTATTTATTAAGAATAATTTTATAAACATGACATAAGCTGTAAAATGCGATTTAACAATCACTTAAATTATTTAGGATATGTAAGTTACTGATTAAATGACATATAAAATCATTGACTTAGGTAAAATAATAATTGAATATAAATTATTTCTATTATTTCTGTTCTTAAAAATTTCTTCAATTACTTATTTTTATTAAGTAAATTTCATTCATATTTTCATTGTAAAAATATGCAAAATTCAAAAAGAACTTTGTAAACAATTTCACAATATTTTGTATGTTTTACGGGATAGATTCGCCAATTTTTAACTGTAGTCCATGGCAATTCAAAAGAGGTACCATGAATGTCACAATTCATACTGTAACGTTTATTGCTACCCATCAGATTTCAAGTTACATAGAAAAGAAACAATTTTGTTGATTATTTTTAATGTCCCATATTTTCGAAAACATTTTATGAAACAGAATCTTTATTACATTAAATGCGTAAAAGCTTTTACGCATATCCATTTTATCCTAAATTTGACCACATTTAGATACTGTTGATTTAATCGTAATCATTTTTGTAAATGTGAGCAAATTCCTCATTCCATTTTAAATCATCTAAACCTTTTCTTTATTAATTAGACTAATTTAACTTTAAAATAATTTTATTTACATTTCATCTAAAACTATTTCTTACTTGAATATTTGCAACGATATTTTCACGATATTTGAAAATTGTTATGTCCTTAAACTTGTAGTACCCACTGGTAGTAGTACCTATTAGTTTATTTGTGAATAGCTGCTTTGTTCCTATTATAGTAATCCTTGACCCAAAGATATTGAATTTTTGTTCTTAGGAGAGATAACATAAATCTTATGTATACATTGTAATGATTGATTTAATGTTTTGAATAAAGATCTGAGTATTAGATTAAGTGTAAATATTATCTATGTACATGGTCAATTAAATAAGATTCGAGGAAAATAATTGTAATTCTCTGAAATGAGAAGCCAACGATTGAATCAATACAAAATATTAATTTATATACAATGGGAAATTAATTATACGAGGGTAACAAAAAAATAAAGTGGATGGCTAACGTTAAGAGACTTATATACGCCTACAGTTGCCAGATTTAAATATATACATACATATATGTAAGAATGAAAGTCCAATTTCCCATTTCAGAGAATTATAGTAAGTATAGGCCCATAAATACCTACCAGTGCTAATCTGTTTCCTTAGAACTTAAGAAAAAGGTAACCTAATTTTGATCAATTAATTGATTTGTACTACTATCGAATATAAGCAGACTTCCGTACGATTGGGTCGATTATTTTTGTTTAGTTCACATTTTAATTAAATTCTATCGAAACAGAGCATATATAAGTTGTTGTTTTCTGTATATCTGATTAGCATTTAAGTATATATTTAAGAATTAGTTAATATTTTTACGAGTTTAACATTCGTGATTTTTATTTCAAAACGACGTCATAAAATCATTGTACGTACCTAGCAAGATACAAATTACATACTATCCATAGACTATTTTACCTGTTGTATTTATATGGGTGAGATAGCAACATTTGTAGTCTATTGTTTTTGTAACTTTTTTGGCTGATAATTTACTAGGCAGTTTAGTTTTTTGTTACTAAAAAAAGTACTAAAAAGAAAATGGGAAACGAAATGTACCATTAGATTATTTTGCCATTTGTGTAAGTCCGCAGATCTTTCCCGAAACTTGGAAAATTTTTTGCACACCACAAAAATAATAATAAATAATTTATTTAAGTAAACTTAATAATAAGCATTTTTGATTTTTTTTTTATAAACTACTACTACTAAAATTGTAGATACCTAATAAATAAAATACAATGAAACGTGACTTTTCTCATTTTTTACTTAAAAATATGTTTAGACTAAAATTATAAATTGTTAAATTTATAATAATGATGTTATGTAAATCGTATGTTAAACATTGCTTTGCAATTTGTTGACTAATAAAGCGATGAAACAATTTGGTGATATTATATTATAGAAATATAAATTGTCTTTGAATTTAAATCTTTTATTTTCAATGCACGTAGTTCTGCTCGTCACAATATAACAAAAAATTGCATATAAGTCTGTTAAATGAGACTGACGTAAATTATGTTCTCGACGAACAAAATGTCCTATTCTGCGGAGGTCACATGAATTATTACGGTATCTACTTTCAATAAGTCATGAATACAATGCAACTCTAGATCGGTCAGGTCATATGACAATAGATTCAAGTTTTTTTTTTATGATAAACATGCCAAACAAGCTGAGAGCCCGCGATGGAAAGTGGTAGACGTCATCTATAGACATGAACAAGACCAAGAACTTTGCAAAATACAGTAATGACCATTGTTTCCCTCGTGCAATGCCATTCTTGAAGACTAAGATGTTTTTTTTTAATGGATGATAATGAACTAGTTACCCCGCTCACGCACACGGTATGCGTTGGCGAGGCACCAGTGAGATGACAGGTGAGAATGAAAAGGCTGGCCCGTTAGCCCCTCATGATGAATACGTTTCCAGGGGGGTACCACGTAAAGGTCGACCTGACAGGGTAGATTGCTAGTAATGGGACTGGTAGTTCGCATTACTAACAATCCCTCGGATTAAGATACTATGCGTTAAAAAAACACTGCCACATCTGTCTTGAATCCTAAACAGTTATGCTAGCACAGGTGATTCGTGGCAGATACAAAGATAAGACAGAGGTACTATTGTAATCTTATAGAAGAAACAATAAAGAGTCTCTATCTACTTAGGCAGATGATATTTGTAATCTCTCCCTCTAGTTGTAATACTAATTTATATACTTGCACTCAGAATTTGTACGCAGGATGATGCAATAAAACAAAAAATCAATTTTTCCACATATAATATAAACTTAAACGCTCTCCTGTACGGGCGGCTCGTAACCCTCGGGGCGTTCTGATTTGTCTCCGACTTCCCCTCGTTTACCACTGCCTCCTTCACCGTGCAGTTCCATAAGCTTAGCGATCTCGAATCGCGGCCTCTTCAAAACTTTCACCTGAAATTGGGACTTGTTTTAGTAGGCGTAAAGTCGATTTTCTAATGAAGATTTTAAAGAGATTGTCAGCAGTAAATCAAAAGGGAACAAATTGTTCATCATGTGTGTACTCATTGCGAGCTAGGTGTGTCATCATTTATATAAATTTTAATTATTAGAAAAGAAAATATGTAGTTCAAATATTGTAAATTATTTCTTCACATTGACTTTTTTTTTTTTAATAGAAAAGAACTTAATATAATTCCAAGGGTACCTCACATCTACATCTTTTGCTTTATCTATTTTATCCAGTTCCCATAACAGTTCTAAAGGACAGGTATTATCCTTAATAATTATACAAGATATATAATCATAAACAGTCAGTTGTGGTCCCTCTTAATGCCCTTAGGACTTCTTTTAAGAGGAAACAATTTTTTCAACTACTTCTAAAAATCAATTAATCCAAATGTTAATGACTCACTTTCCGGATGCAAACATCCCTGAGTGGGTAAATTCCGTGGCAGGCCTTCTCGATGTCCTTAGCAATGGAGTCAGGGATCAGCTTGTTGACCACTTCTCGCAATTCAGAGCTGGTCACATCACGAGTAATGATTTCGCACATCTTCTTTCTGATCGCGCGTACCTGAAGTGAAAGGTAAATTAAAACTCACGGCTCATGTTAGTAGTATAGCGTTCGTAGCGATCTATGATAGTTCATAGCTATTCCTTAAGTCGTTTTGTTATTCGGATCTAAAGAAAATTTGTAATTACAAAATCATAAGTTCAGGTACAAGAGCTCCTAAGAAGCTCGATGTGCACTTGATTTTCTATATGTTTAAAAATAACAACGCATTGAAACAGGGCAATGGGTGACAGTAACCGCTTTCCATCTGGTGGAAAGCCATTAACACCTGCAGCACGAGAGGAGTTTGCTTGTGTTGTTGCAATGGCTTCGTTTCTAACAGCACATTGGCAATGCTCATAAAGGCTAGATTGGAGGAGATTGGACTGAATATATTACTCTTAAACAGCCTCAATAATGTGGCATATATAATGTGATATAGTAATAACTTGATCCCGCCTTGATCGCCTGCGTCTAACAACTCTCTACAACAGATGTGAAGATGTTGCTAGATTTTGTGGTGGAACGTAATAAAATGACATAAAGCAGTAATGCCTTGTATTTTTTTTTTATAACAGATTGTAAACAAAAGCCAATTGATGACAGATAGTAATTAGTCAAAAAAAAAAACTATAAGAAACGGATTTTTATGATATTGCCAATCAAATAACCCCTTTCCAAAAATAACTCCAGTAGCCTTACTACAGAAAAGAAATCACAGGGAGATACTTAAAGCCCAAGTGACAGAAAGTTGTAAACATCGCCTACAGACTTGAACGTAAAGTGATGCCAATGGCACCACTTATGAGTTGCCACATATAAGGACTACGCTATGATATATGAATGCAATTCCAAGTTTTTAAAAATGCAGTACTAGTCCTTTCCTTGAAATTTAGATGGATTTGTAGCAACTCCACAAAAAGCCGGCGGAACCCCGCGAGCCGCGTTCATGGTGATGCCACGATACTGTACGCAGCTTATCATTTGTAAATAGACCGACATAGACAGCTACAACTATGTCTATGACGTCCCTGGCTGCGCATTTCATAGGTACGTTTAAGGGGGGAACTGTGCGAGCTGAGCCCACCACAAGATGAAAGCGAAGATTAAGCTATGTGTAGACACGTCTGAGTAAATATTTAAAATACCAGATTTGGATTTTGATAAAAAATATTCGAAAAATTCCAAAAATACTAAGTAGGTACAAAATTTTTAGTGGTAGATTTGTATGTAACATATTCTATGATTGACGTTTTATTACATAAGCAGAACACATTTTTAAATAATCAATCAAAAAGATTGACATTTATTCAATTGTTTTTGAAAATTGACAGATAATTGCATTGTTAATATACTTAGTTAAAAAAAAAACCTCATAAAAGTGCTCGAAAAAGAAATGCAAAAGGTGCTAGAGGTGGAAATATGCAATGGAAGCTTTGTCCGTTTTAAGAATGTTAAATTAAAATACCTGGGTATGCTGAGCGTAGCACGTCTTGCGCTGACTCAGCGTGTCCTTGTTGGTGAAACCGATGCAGAAGACACGTAGGAGGTAACCGTCGGTGGTCTTCACGTCAATATTGGCCTCTACGAGGGTTTGCCATTTCTTAACCATCCACCTGGATACAAAATTCTCCTGGTTATTTGATTAGAATTATTTTGTTTAATTCTAAATGAAATGGCAGTCAGAGATTGATGGCTAATATGAAAGGTTGTAAAACGTCTGGTAATAATAATTATGGTCAATCTTCGAGTGTTGGCAGTTACATACATACTGATGGTAGTAGAATAAAAACATTTTAATCAAATAACCTGTGATATACACTACAGCAAAATAATATATCTATTTCAGTAAAATATTTACAAAATTGTAAATAAATGACTAGGATCGTAGCTCAATCTCAAACTCGTTGCATAATAGCTATTGTGAGTCCAACTGCAATTATTTATGGTTGGTTTTACTCTCGTTTTAAATTCGAGAATGCCAAACTATTTTCAAAAACAATAAGAGGTCTTATCCATATGCAAATAATATTCACAGGCGCGAATCGCGCTCGCGTTATAGCGGTCCATGTATTTATTGTAGTAGTGACATGAAAGTCCTATGTACACAGGTATAAAGGCACTATATCATGTGATAACATTTACTATCTGCAGGTTTGAAACGATATGAAGACAAGTTATAAGCCTCCATATAGCTGGACTGCAGAATATCTCAAACTTATCATATGGTAATCAGTATTTTTTTTTAAAAAGGGCTAGTACAGAAACTTATTGAAGTGTATATCAGATCACCTAATAAATAAAAAATATAAGTTCATTCAGAATACATACCTGAGTTTATCAGTGGTGAGGTCCATACCATGGAAGTTGCAGAGCACATTGCGGCCCTGAACATCCTCAGCAATCAGACGAAATTTACGGAAGGACCTGATAAAATAGTGTTTAATATATTATTACTTCATACATTGCCATAATTCATCTAAATATTAACTAAAATGTTAAAGAAACTTATTTGCACACTAAAATAATAAATAAGAAAACAGAAAACAATGGGTAGCCTTGTTACTAAAAGGTATCTCTTCCAGGGAAGCTTTGGATGGAGAAGAGTAATTATAAACAGTAATATATAATTAAATACCTTCCCCCAAAGAAAAAAACTTTGAAATCCGATAAACAAACTTCAAATAAATGTTGCAATGACATAAAAGGCCAATCTACAAGTTGTGATAGAAAGGCACTTTTTTATGTGATAGCTTTTATTATTTGCAGTTTGTAACGATATAAAGACCATAAGGTGAGCCTTCATATAGCTGGACTGCAAGTTATTTATTTTAGATTTTAATGCACCATTTGCAAATTAATACACAGTATATTATAGAGTCAGCAACCTGCACATTGTATTCTAGCATTGCATTATTATTGCATTTACAAACAAGTGGACTATATAAATGTTTGTCACCTAAGTGGTATAGAAAGAAAATTATTAATACAAAGTGATACAAAAGGCCACCTTAACACTATGCAAGCTCTTCCATACAACCTTTAAGTTACTTTTTCACAAATCTATGGCATAGTAAAAATTACAAAATTTGTTTATTTTGGTCGTATATTCCCAAACACAATAAATAGGTAGGTACATAAATTGATACATACTAAACAGGAATAACAAATACCACACAAATAAAGTCACAGGCATCAGTTATATAATTATATATAGTATATTTGTTTAATTTTTGATCTAGAATGATAAATGATACACACCTTTCAGCATCAGTGTCAGCTTGAAGATCAGCCAGTGAAACTTCAAACACACGGCCCTTCAGTCCTTCTGAAGCGATTTTTGTACCCTAAAAGAATTCAACTTATACAGCATAATGTTCATATAGCATAACAATTTTAAACATTAAAGAGAGTGTTCAGCAGTAAATCAAAAGGGAACAAATGTTTTCATCAGTTCTGTGTCATTGCGAGCTAGGTGTGTCATCATAAAAATAAAACATATGTAGTTATCTATAACTGTAGTTCAAAAAATAGAAATGCTAATCTATATTCATTCCTACATCATTTATTCATCTACCTTCATGCCAATTTAATCAGCAATTGAATTTGTTTTTTCTATTGTATTGTTTTTTTGTAAATACATAACCTCCAAGCTGAACCCAAACACATGCTAATGACAAGACACATGTCTGTATTGTACAGGAATTAAACCTGCAGTTCTAGGAGAGGCATTTTGTTAAAACAGTTTACCACTGTAAGCCCTAGTCACCAATATAAAAACCTTTGTATTGTGGCATTTTTTTTAAACAAAGTACATAAAAACTGATTAATGTTAATGCTAAAAAACATTATGTTGACCTAGATAATAAATGTGGTATGTACTCTACTACAGGCATTCCCCCACCCATATCAACAAGGACAGTAAAATAGTGAACAGCAAACTAAAAAAAACTTCAAAGTTAAATGAAAAATGTGTATATAATCAAACAAATATAACAACTTAATTATTTCTAAACTCTTGAGTGACCACAGACAAGGTTTGCACAAACCATTACTGTCTATAGAAATAGCTTATTACATGTAATGAAAAATAAAACTACATTAAGTCCAAGAAGGGTGGACTGTAAATATTACTGCCATGAAACCTAAAATTAATAATCTGTTCCTACCGATCAGAAAATAGTAAATATCGGTACATAAAATTAATAACATAATATAGGTTAGAAAAAAAAACCACTCACTTGTGTACGATTGACAAGGGTGGTGCCCACTTGTCTCTTAGTGAACATAGACGGTGCTTTAACATCATACCAGTCCTTGCGTGTGAAGGGATCAACGCTAAAAACAAAAATTTAAAACATAACCTCTCAATCTAAAAATTCTCTAAGGTTTAACAGTGATTTAGTAGCCACTTGCGACGACAGATCTGTTAAATTACTAAATGTCTGGAAACCGCCACCAATACAACAAGTCGAATATGATTTTCAGAAATCCTGGTAAAGGACACGAGACAAAACTTGTATCCATAAATAATAAAACAATCACAGTGATCAGAATTCTTTTATAATATCTAATGGATACTATAATAAATAAACTACAAAATCTTGAATCTATTTCAAACTTACATCTTCTTTTTAACACCTTTTTTACCGCCTTTCGAAAGGCCTTTATTTTTACCGACCGCCATGTTCGCAAAGACACTTAGGAAAGAATTATATTATGTTTATGACACAACGACCGAGAGGAAATGTCAGAGTATACTTTTTTTTAGCTTCGGCTGTTTGGGTTGCCATTAGCCAAATATAAAACGGGGAAATCAACTCAGATCAATATAGCGATAATTTGACAGGATAAGTAGATTTAGGCAATTTTAGGCTATATTTCTGTAAAAAAATATGCGAATTTGGTCTACTTGGGGTTTAATTTCTGATGAATGACTATTTTACCTAGTGATCAAGCTAAGCTAGCACAAAAGATCCGTATGGGTCGACGTGCAACAGCTTAGCTGACCCCATATGCGAAAAATAAGATAAAAATTTTACCTAGCGATATGTAATTAGACGGAATTTTTATAACAGATATCCTGCTAATTATTATATTTTGCTATTGTTTGAAAGATTAATTATAATTGACCCAATAGCGTTACATTTAACGTTAGCTCAAGTAAATAGTTAAACTAACTATATCCAGCTGCATTAAATTATTATTTTATTTATGTAACTCTTTATCGCACCATAAACATAAAAATATACAATGAGAATTGAACAATTAAATTGAAATACAATAATAAAAAATACAGATTAAAATATATATACATAAAGGTACAAAAGGCGGTCTTATCACTTGAGCAATCTCTTACAGATAACATTTGATTAAAGTCTCTCTACTATTTGAGGTAGACTTTCTCAACAAATTCTTGAAATGTAGTTTGGACTTCCAATAATAATCGCCTGAGTTTTATTAGGGTTAGATTTACACCAGTTCTATATGTGTACCGGGTCTTTATTTACTATATATTTCGTAGAGTCAAGGTAATGGAACGAGCGAGTAAATTTTAAGATCACCTGCATAAAGATAGTAAGAAGTACAAAGTTGAATCGTATTAATAAATAACGAAAAAAATAATGGAGATAAGATGCTACCCTGAGATACACCAGCTGTGATGTTAGTGATGAGATTATTAAATGTTATGATCTGATCATCAACAGAATAAAAAAAAAACTATTTTCTAGAAATAATGTATATGGCAAAACAACGTTTGCAGGATCAGCTAGTTATTATATATAATTGTAATTATATTATAACTATAAATACAGCTAAAAAACAAAAAAAGTCAGAAATGACATAACTGAGATTAGTAAAAAAATTTAGTTAAATATGAAGAAATACCGACAAAATCACAGATTAAAGACAATGGAGGAATGCATTCAGAAGACTGGTGGCACAAAAAGAGCCACAAAACAATTGCTAGAAAAAAGGGATTGGATACCAAATATAGAAGGTGATAACTCTAAATCTGCAATCAAAAGATCAGATATACTTACAATAGCTACAATTTTTTTTCAAAACTTATATTCTACTAAGAGCTCTATTATGCAAACAGACTTGACAAAGCGAAAGGATGTTCCAGAGATCTTGCTCATAGAAGTCGAAACAGTTATGAAATCTCTAAAGAAGGATAAAGCTCCAAATCCTGATAATATTAGCAGTGAATTTCTTATTAACAATAAAGATACTCTTACACCAATATTTACACATATGTTTAAAGACATATTAAGAAGTGAGTCAATACCAACACAATGGACTATATCCACCATTATATTGTTGCACAAGAAAGGAGACAAAAGTAATATGAATAATTATAGGCCTTATGTCGAACATATTTAAAATCTTTAATAAAGTTATTTTAAACCGCATAACCAAACTATTAGACGATAACCAACCAAGGGAGCAAGCAGGTTTCAGGAGTAGATATTCAACTTTAAACCATATCCATGTTGTCAAGCAACTTTTCGAACAAAGTAAAGAATACAATATCACCTTTTATTGCTGCTTTTTAGACTATAGTAAGGCTTTCGACACCCTCGAACATGAGGCAATTTGGCATGCACTTAAAAATCAGGGTATTGATATTAAATACGTCAGAATATTGAAGAACATATATGGAAATAGTAAAGCAAAAGTAAAGCTAGAAAAAGAAGGAAACCCCATATCACCTAAACTTTTCACTGCAGTATTAGAAGAGATGTTTCGTCAACTAAATTGGGATAAGTATGGATTATTAATGAACGGGGAATACCTGTCACATCTGAGATTCGCGGACGATTTAATTTTATTTTCCCCAACAAGAGATAGTCTACAAGTAATGCTTAATGAATTAGGTAAAGAAAGCCTAAAAGTAGGTTTGGTTATAAACAAAGAAAAAACAAAAATTATGACAAATGGGAAAAAAGAGGAAACTATCTGCATCAACAACAAAAAAATTGAATATGTAAATGAGTATATATATTTGAGTCAAATAATTTCACAAACAGACTTAACTACAAAGGAGAATAAAAAACGTATAGGAAATGCTTGGAAACGATTTTGGAGTCTAAAGGAAATACTTAAAAGTAAAATGACAAACACAGCCTTAAAAGGTAAATTACTTGAAACCTGTATTTTACCAGTTCTTACATATGGTTGCCAAACCTAGGCTCTTACCAAATCCCACTTTAAAAACTACAAAATTGCCAGAATGCCATGGAAAGAAGTATGATGGGGATAAGATTATCAGACAGAATTAAAACTAGCACAATTAAAAACCATCAGGTGAGCCGTATGCTCGTTTGCCCCTTGTGTTGTAAAAAAAAAATTAAAAACCACATAAAAACTAAAGATGTTACAGTCACAGTTAAAAAACTTAAATGGAAATGGGCAGGGCATACAATTAGAGGGAGAGATAAATGGAGTAAAAAGATAATGTTTTGGTACACGAAAGACAAAAAAGAAGAAAAGGAAGACCACATAGAGGATGGGTAGATGACATTAGGGCTGAAGCAGGTGGAATTTGGACAAGAATTACTAGCAATAGAAACCATTGGAGGCAGTTGAAGGAGGCCTTTGCTAATAAGCAAACAGACAACAGCAATTAAATAAATAATAAGTTGTTATAAAAAAAATGTTTTCTGAATAAAGGCTTATATTATTATTATTATTTTAAATACAGCTATTTCTTTTATATGCATATAATGTAGTAAATATATATTCTTTAAAATTAGATATTTGTTATTGTTTTTTAGGTGCTGTTTGAATCGGCATAATACTTTCAATTATCGTTAAATGAATTTGCCTAACTCACCTGTCCGCCACAAAAAAAAGAAAAAAAAAAAAAAAAAAAAAAAAAACTCACCTGTCAAAAAAATCAGATTTTATATTATAGATTTTATTTTTATGGCAACTGTTGATATCAATATATAGATTGAATATATATATAGTAGGACAACACTATAAACGTTTATTTATTTTTCTATTTTTTTTAGGTTCCGTTGACATAGGACTGTACCAACTTTTAGAATATAGTGATTACATGCTTAATGGCTATAGCTATAACCTATAGCTGGTTATGTCGACCACAGATAACTTACCCACAGCTGTCTTTGTATATCCTCTATATAACTAGGTATTGATAAAGCTTCCCATCGGCAACACTCTTCTGTGGTCATGTCATATTTATTTCAGTTTGTGTCTAAGGTTTCGTTCCATTGTTGTCACTTGTATTTTTTTTAAAGTTTCATTCATTTTCTAATTTGCGAAAGTTTTAGTTTCGTATAGTTAATTAAATTTGTATAATGTACTTTGAATCACTTTTTTAAGTAGTTATAATGGGTGCAAAAGTGTCTAGAAATGATTTTGAGTGGGTATACACCGAAGAGCCGCATGCGAGCCGTCGAAAGATTATACTAGGTAATATTTGTACATTACTTGTTACGTTACGTCATATAAATTAAAGTATTTATAGCAAAAGCCGGCAAGTCTAGGCACACCATATTGTTGCTTACTTCTTTTTTCCAAAGATACAACTTGAAAAATAATTACATTAACCTAAGCAGAGTCTGTTGATAGCGGTAAAGTAGGGTTAATAATATGAATATGAAATTTTGTTAATTTCATTCTATAGCTACTCATAGATTTACTGGTTTTTCCATAGAAATAGAAAATTGTATTATATTATTATTTTTGATTTGGTCTCCAAAATGACAATAGAGTTAGAGTTCAGTACAGTAAAAACTATCAGCTGATACTTGCCCCATACTACAATAAAATATTTAACTTTTCAAGCACATTAATATAAAAAACCTAAACTAAAAATTAATTAGTATGTATAAGTAATAAATTAAAAATTTACTTTCTCAGAACTTAATATAGGTATCTATAGGATTAATTTGATGGAATTTGAACCCACATCTCTGTTATCAGGATTGTATTTCCAATCACAAAATAGACGGAAAGTTTTTCATGTGATAATTCACTTGACAAATTTTTGAACAACTATTAATTTAAAGTTACCTCTTTTAAAAGTTAGAAGAAATCTTTTTGTTATTAAAATTTAATCACTTATTTCAAACACCTAATTCAAATATTTACATTTATTAAATAACATTAACATATATATTATTTATTTAATTGTATAATATTATATGTACTACAATAAATGTATACATATTTTTTTATTATTAAACTTATTTTGTCATTGTATGGATAAATGTATATTTATTTACTTTACATTGTGTATTTTCTTTTTACAATAAATGTCTATGAGTACAGTGTGATTATGGTAACAAAGTCTCTTCTATTTGCATTTCTGCGGCCCACCAAACTGCTTTGCTTGCATATGTTTATAGATATCTGTCCATTAGTCAGGCCGTTACCTTGTTTGCTATTCTAAATTGTGTAAAAATTTGATATATCTCATTTGATTCAATTATTGTAACTACACAACTAGTGAGTTCAGCTTAATGGGCTTTAACCACTGAAGACCATAAGCATATTTAGAGAGGGGCTAGTTGGACCATACTCTGACATGTCTGAGAGTACATATGAGCCTTTTTTAAAGGACCGCGCCATCCAGGAAAAAAATCTTAAATATACCAATATGAGAAATCATACACACAATGGCCCAAGTGAGAGGCTAAGCGCAGAAACTGGAGTCTTTTTCACCAATATGAGAAAAATCTTAAATATGCTAAAAGATAAGCAAACTGAAGTGGCAATGGGCTGGTCACATAGCTCGAAGAACCAACAACCAATGGGGAAGAAAGGTTCTTTAGTGGCGACTGCGTGTGGGCAAACTCAATATAAGACAACTAAATGGAGTGACGACCTGAAATGCATTGTAGGGAGTCCATTGACTCCATCCATTGATGAAGGTGGCTCAGGACCCTTCTTAATGGCTATGGGGAAGGCTTATGTCCAGCAATGGACGGATAATGGCTAAAATAATAATGATGATGCCAATATGGAAGACTACTACCATATTGGCATCATCATCATTATTATCAGAATATCTTATACACCATGCCATATTTTATAAAAATATTACTTCTTGTCTTATAGCATGACATGTTGATTGATTAGTTAGTAAAATGATTAATCAATTTTATCAATGTATGATAAAGTCATTATCTAGTTTCAACCAATTTCAAAAAGAAGCTTCTCAATTTGTTGTATTTTTTTATGTTTATTAGTTCATAACTCCGCCAGTTGTGAACCAATTTGGAAAATTCTTTTTGTATTTGAAAGGATATACTTACAGATTGATTTCATAGAAATTTTATCAAAATCAGTTCAGCAGTTTATTTATTAAATCAAAATAAGTGGTTGCCAAAATTGAAGTAAATTTTTTTAGTCAAACAAATAGAACTAATAATTTTAATAATTGAAATAATTCTATATGAAGCCAGCTTGTAACTATAAACATATGTATCGCCATGTACTGCGTTCAGTGTACCAATTTCAGTAATTATCGTTTAATCAAAATTCATGTTGTAAGCGCCATAAGCGTTGCGATGGCGATGGCGATTCAAACACCATAACTGTACTAATTTGTACAGTGATTCACTGAACGTAAACATCTTTTTGGTGTGCAACATTGTGAATGATATTCACACATTTGTCAAACAGAACTTTTTAAATTTTTTTTAGGGACCTAAGAATAAGAAATTACATAGAAACGATATTACGATTAGATATTATTAACGATATTAGATATTACGATTACGAGAAAAGATACAAGGAATGATAAAATAAAAACTGTAAATCATATGGTTGCCTCCTTTCTTCTTATGCAAATATAATTAGTAAAAAGAGGACGAAAGATACACCCTTAGTTGCTATTTTCTCAATTCATAGCAGGCTAGTGTGTAGAAAATGTTTGATATGTCAATTATTTTATTTGACAATAACAAATTTTACATTACTATATTCGACACAGTTTATGTAAAAAGTATACAAGCAAGTTGTATCTGAATTTGGCAGGGTTATCCGGCCGTATAACATTTTCTATACACTAGCCTGCTATGAATTGACAATTTTATCACTCCTGTCTAATTGTTCTTACTTTGGGACTAGCTTTTTACACGTTACTTCATAGCGGATTTTAGAAATATTTTAGTTTAGATAATAACGTAACGGATTCATTACGTTTGATAAATATTACCTTTAAAGATTTGTTGCTTTTAAATATAGCGAAACATACTGAACATTAAAAGACAAACTGTAATATATTTTGTACCTATGTTTTTGACAAATAGTTATTGTTATTATAGGAAAACTTATTAAATGACCACTAATATGGAAATAATTTAGAATGCGGTAGTGTCTACTTTTGTTTCACAACAAGCAAATTTTTGGTTTGAGTACAAAAACTACAGATTTAATCGTTATAAAATCGGGAGTAAACACGAAAAAAAAAATTATCCAAATCAGTTCAGTTGCGTATTTCTCTGGTTATAACATAACAAAAAAAAAAAAACAAAAAAAACTCATACTTTTGAAATTCCTTGAAAGCAAATATCTTTTTAAAGTTTACAAATCGTACTCACGCTTACTCTCTAAGATGCCTAAAAGATTGTTTAACAGCCTTTTAACGAGAAGCATTCTCGAGTATCTCCTAATTACAGTTAATTGCCCATCTAGTTAAATGCGAAGAGGCTAATATGAGAACATAGTCCAACATATTATAAAGTCCAAATTATCTATTATGTAAAGTTTTTATTGCAGATTATGTAGCATTTTAGATTTTTAACCTACTTCAAAAAAGGAGGATGTTCTCAATTCAGTTATCTTTTTTGTTTGTTACCTCAGAACTCCGTCATTTATAAACCAATTTTCTTGGAAGACGTGACTATTTATCCTTTGACTCAAAATTTGTTTATTTAGATCAATTAACAGGTAGTCAATGAAAAAAAAAACTTTTTTAAAGTCATTTATTCAGAAAAAGTTAGCTTAAAAGTTACTAATTACAAATTTTAGTTTATAAACAAAATGTTTAGTTATTATAAATATGCTTTAATATAGCTAACTGGTGAAGATTTTAAGTGGGAATGAAATTTTTGGCATATTTATTTTTATACTCACCTTAATTATCAACATCGTCTTTAAATTACTCAAATTTTCGTGCGGTTTCCGAAAACGGGACAATTTTGCGTCTCAAAGTTCATGTCGGAGACACCGGGATTCTTAACTATAAAATGGGACAGTCCCGGAACTGGTTACGTTAAATATAACCTACTTGTCAAAATTTATCTAAGCTATTAAATTTTAATCCTAAAATTATTGTACATAGTATAATAATGCTAATAAAAGCGGTGATAAGGAGTGCAATGCAATTACTTATGTAAAGTTAAGGAAAAATTATCATGACTCACGTTTATTTTAAGAAAATCTAATAGCGGCATTGCATACGTGACAAATTGATCGTAAGTCAGGTTTCATTTTATTGCCAAACTTTGGGTTACTTTTGAAAAAAAAACTAATAGATATTGGTATTGAAATGTTTGACACTCTCAAATTGTAATACTCACGACATAATGGTTCCATCTTCTTCTGATAGATGCATATGACTGCAACTTGCCAATGCAAACAATTTTTTTTTTATGGGTAAAAATGGTATGGTAACCCCGCCTGCGCTAACGGGATACGCTGGCGGAGCACCAGTGAAGGGTGATAGATGAGAATGAAAATAGGCCAATTAGCCCATCATGATGAATTCGTCAGAAATTAACCATGATAGTATCCAGGGAGAACCGCGAAGAGGTCGACCTGGTTGGGTATATTGCTAGCAATAGGATTCTCAGTCTCCATGCGGGGCACCAATGATAGATGACTGATGAGGATGAAAGCAGGCCAGTTAGCCCATCCTGACGAATTCAGCTAGAATTAGCCACGATGGTTTCCAGGGGGAACCACGTGGAGGTCGATCTGACAGGGGGGTATATTGCTAGTAATGGAGCTATTTGATCACATGCTGTTCAGTATTTTAGCCCCATGTTCGGTGTTCGACATACCATAATACCGAAATATGAGTGGTTCGGTAAATTAACTAATTAATAAAACGCAAGGTTAGTTCGTATGATAAATGGTTTATGATTTACGGTCTAGCGAACGAAATAGATTTAAGTATTGAAATGGTAATAACTGAATTAAGCATTCGTTACAATTTAAAATTTGCAATTTGGAATAATTTATTAAAAAGATATGCTGAAAGCTATAACAATAAATATAAATTTTAATCTACTGAATTTGTTTCATTGAATTTAATAGCAGTAAATTTCGACACTGGGTACTGCAGGCCCAATGAATCCTTGGTTCTCTGTGAACCTAATTTACGTACATATGTGTTATGTACTTAAAGCATTAAGTTTAAATTTTAATAAAAATGAACCCCGCCAAAATTTTCTTCAACTATAGTCCACATAGGCATATTTAAACGGGGGGCAGGTGGGCCGTGTCTAGCCCAGAATTGTCTAGTGCCCACTCCAGGATTCAAAGAAAGCTTCGTAAATACATGTCTGATCCAGTTCAGTGTTTTCATTACTTTTGGTGACTCTGTCACAGGTTCTGTTCGAATGCTTATCTGTTAAATACATCCCAATAACGGATATATTAAATGTCGCTTATTCAATAAATAATATTGAAATGCTAAACTCAATCGAAGTGAATATAGATATCCGACTCGTATAGACGATATCAAAATGGATAATGACATTTTATTCCACCGTATATCTCCAGGAACCCAATAAATAGGTACCGAAATATTTTTAATGGATGATAATATAATGTAACTGTCTGCGCTAACCATATACACTGACGGAGCATCAATGAGGGATGATAGGTAAGAATGAAAAGGCAGGTCAGTTAGCCCATCATGATGAATACACCTGGACTTCAGCACGGTGATTTCCACGTGGAGGTTGACCTGCTAAGGTATATTGCTAGCAATAAGGCTGGTAGACTGTATTACTACTTACTAACAATTACAACTAAAGGACAGGATGGGCAGCAGCGTCCCTCTTAAAACATCACCAAAAGTCTAACTGCGCATGCCAATCCGTTTACTAAACGTGACAACTACTGGAAAAACTCTCCTTATAGTGATGGCCTATGTTCAGCTGAGGAAAGTTAACGGCTGATATGAATGTATAAATGATAAATAATATGTGTAAACACTTCATTTTTTTTTTGCCCACAGAAAAATATCCGGAAATAAAGCAGCTGTTTGGTTACGATCCGCTTTTCAAATGGGTGGTGACAGGGATGGTGATCGCACAGTTGGCTGTGTTGCCATTCATCCAACAACTCAGCTGGCCAGTCATGCTATTGGTCGCCTATTGTTATGGCGGAGTCATCAACCACTCGCTCATGTTAGGTAAGAAAATCCGATTTTCGACAAAATACATATCACAAAACATGTTGCAGTCTTTTACCTGAGGGGCGTGCATGCAAAACCTTGCAGAAGAAAAAAATTTAAAATAAAATTGTTTTTTACAATGAGTAAAATTGTTATTTTTTTTTATATAAAATGCATAGTTTAATTCTAAGTATTACACAAACTAGTAATTATGACTAAAAGCGATTTTTGTATGTACTATGTATGGTTTGAAGCCTGCGACATGTATTTTGTTATAAATGGTTACCGTCCACACAAGTAACAAATTTTAATACATATTATTCTGGAAAAAACTACATCCATCTTCAAATGTCACAAAAATAATATGGGATGAATAAATAATTTTAAAAACTTATTGGCGACGTTAAATGTAACACATAACGCAACCACAAAAAAAAAAAATTAAAAACATATGCAGACAATTTTCGCGCAAGATTATAAACCATAAACAATCCCCATAATTTTTTAATCCTAGAGTGATATGTTAGTCTTATCTGAAGCCACTCTAGTAGTAAATTGCTTTTAATTGTACAATAACGTGTCCGTTAATCACTGTAGATCTTAGATAAGATTTCATCAAATAGTCTTCGTTAAGTGTTTAAACAGATGTTCATAACATTATATTATGTCATTAATGTTTTTTTTTATCTTTAAGAGAGTAAATATGCGCTAATTATTTTTAAATTTACCTACTCAAAAAGTGACTTACTTGATGCTTAAATAATAGAATCTTATATGGCTGAAGCCTGTGTTATCTTTTTTAGTTGAGTGAATTTCGTGTTTCCTATATTAATATATATTTTTTTAGGAATATTTTTAACAATCTTTTAATAATCATCATACCAGTATCAAATATTCATACTGTATTGTAATTATTTATATCGGTTCTTCTCACGTTTTAAATTCGGTGACGCCCAACTAGTTTCTACTTTTCGGCAATGTTGCAAGCAAGATAACTATCTATCAGTCGACTAATAATTTATTTGCATAAATATTGGTACAACTATAAAACGCACTCATGAATAAAGGCACCTATTGAATTAGAAACTAGTTGGGAATCCCCGAATTTAAAACATGGTTATAGTCAATATAAATAATTACAAGTTAAAAGTAGTAAAAATTTTGAAACGTATTTAAAATATATATATACCTAAATACTCTATTTATATTTTTATGTGCATTTGCTGATGCCCGCTACTTTGTCCGCGTGGTATTTGTTAATCCTTCGAATTTTTCGAAAAAACATTTTTAACTTACTTATTGTAGTGAACTATTGTCTAGGAATACTAAACTAAAATTAACAAATGATGTGTCGTTCTCACTCTTTGCCTTAGGTCAAAGTAACTTCAGTAGGTCGTTTACTAATCTGTATAAGTTACTATAGTTTTTTTAACTATTCCACGGGAACTATTTAATTTTCCGTAATTAAAAGTATTATAAATGTTGACCAGGGATGTAAGGTACAATATGTATACAAAATTTCATTTAAATCGGTTCAACATTTTCGGAGATTATCTCGTACAAACAGACAGAGACACAAAAAAATATTGAAAAAATCTGGATGTGTTCTATTTCACTTTTAACATCCTTCTGACTCGGTTTTTAGTCTTTTTTTTCAATGTACAGACATTCGACCTCTACAGTTTTATTATATGTATAAATCATGTAATATTTTCATCAATTTAGAACCTATTTTAATAATTTTGTCAGTGTTTCCTGCAAATGTCGATCCCGTATTAATATAATATAATATTGATTTCAGTGATTAATTGGACATACACTAAGAATTATTAAAGGGAAATATATATCTAATTTATGATTACTATCAAATTCGTAAATGTTTTAATTAATACTCCTTAAAGGTAATTCAGTGTCATGCAAACAATCACTACATTTAGAATTGTTAAACCGAACTCTTTTCGTCTTACCACATCTATAAATCTGTATTAGTGATAACTTTATATAAATATTATGTATCATATCAATAGATGATATTCATAGAAAAGTCTATAGATAGTTCTAATACTGAACACACATACAGAATAGTGATTCGTCAACACAAGTAAACGACAAGGTCACACCGCAGTTACTCATAGCGAGTATTATCATATATGATATGTACATACGTAAAGGAAACATACCGTTCATATTTTAGAAGGCATAATTATTATGTATGTGAGCTTGTCGAGTATTATAGTCACCAAAACTAACTCTAGATGGCTTCTAACCACTGTATTATGAACTAAAGCCATGAACTTAAGTTGTCTGCTTAAGCACTTTTGTCCCATTCGTGTTTCTGCTGTGAAACACCTGTGTGTGAAATTAAAGAGATGAAGGCATAAAACCATAGTCTTTAGGAATGAAAACACATCATCAATGCAATCAAAGTGCTGTTCATGACTATAAATGATGGTTGCCACTTTCAACCAATTGGACTATCCAAGTACATATCATCCATAAATACTTTGGTGGTAAATTAGTATAAACACCATTGTTATGGTATTGGCCTTGATTGTAATATATTTGAAGGGATTATCTTAAAATTTAAAAAATACAATCCATGACCGGACAAGTGTAAGAATTTTAAAATTGGATGTCTGTCTTTTATAGAATACATAGGTATATGTGTTTTACTTTGATATGGCAGTGAGGCATGCAAAGAAGTATGGTTATTATGGTTTATGTCCATAATTTTTCACAAAACTTTTCTCAGACTTTTTTTTAGAAATTTATATCTTACGACACCAGTAAGGCTTGAACCTTGATAATAGGGTTCTATTGAACATTGTGATTTCGTATTAATTTCTTTCTTTTTAAACATTAACCGGCTTCTTAATAGGTTAGATTATAATTAGGTTAGGTTATAATCGAACATCTTTCTCCAGCGTATCTTTTCCGCTATCCATCTCTGGGATACCAATCAACCAATGTTTGATCAATCTAATAGTTTTTATTGCAATTTCAGTTTCTCTCCTTGTAAACCTGATATTATTTACGATATTTATATTAAGTACGTTTCTCTCCGTAATTCTGTGCGCATACTTTTATCGTTATCAATGTTTTTCTTAGATAAACCCCCAAGTTTAATGACTATACATTCAACATCAGAAAACAGATATTTCGGCTTTACTGGTTTACATTTTTCATTGCCATTAATTCTAGGGTCGTTAACGTACGGAGTCGAATCTATTTACTATTATGTTTAGGATAGGTACTGTTTAAATATGTCCATCACCTTATATTAAATATATACAGGGTAAAATTATTACGTTTTATCTACCCATGCTACAGAACTATATTAGAACAGAAAATTGACACAACATTTCGATTCTCCCATATGAATTTAACGTTGGATGCGTGTGTAAGTTTGGGAGATTTTATTTTTCGTTTTGAATGTTTAACGGCTGAAATGATGACTATTCATCATCATCATTTCAGCCGTTAGCTATCCATTGCTGAACATAAGTCCTCGCCATAAGGGTAGTCTTGCCAATAGTTGCCATAGCTTGACTGGCAGGCAGGTTGACAACCTCAATTAGATTCATTCGTTTTCGAACCATATTTCAGTGAAAATGATCAATAGCACTGGTAGAAGTCTCGCTTACAAGGATGCTAACGATTTCACCATGTATAGATAATTCAGCGGTTTTATAATGTGCTTTACAATACAATATTGTCCCTATAATATTTGCCAATTTATGGTCATTGTAATTGTATACTAATTATTTATAAATTTTTCTTTTAGCTATCCACGAAATAGCGCATAACCTAGCGTTTGGTCATAACCGGCCCCTGCACAATAGATTGTTTGGTTTCTTCGCCAATTTACCCATCGGGATACCAATATCAATAAGCTTCAAGAAGTATCATCTGGAACATCATAGGGTAAGTAGTACATATGGTTTGAAGTGTAACTCAACCTAAGACTCGTCTTTATTATACTACTGTTTTTATTGTTAACTGCATGTTGACAATATAACATATGGCGTCTATAAACTGTCTAAATCTTACATATCTAAATACAGGAGATAGATAATGTGAAGCGCTTTGTATGGAGACCGGATGTCGCTGCTTAACCGCCACATGAAAGGTGTCAATTTGACACGTTCCGTCTGTCTAAACATTAGATAGCATTCACATTAATCTGACATTTAATATAAGTTGAGTACCGCCACCTGCCAAATAGTGATGACCTTTGGCGTATTTAACATTATTTTCCAGGGGGGCCTAGCCTCTTAAAAACAAGCAAATGTACTTACTCTCAGATAATTCTTTGTGAAGCTTTTCTTATATCAAGAGGCAACGACCAATTCTAGGGTGGCCACGACTCACCCGGCCATCGTCTATATACGCCTCTAGTAATGACTACAAAAATCTTATTAATAGGTATATTCATTAAAAATCTATACTTTATTAATATTATGAAGTTTAGGTAGAATTTGAGCATAAGTTCAAACAGATTTTGATATCGAAACAATCTAACTCAAAACTCAGTTTTGCGATAAGAAAAGGTAGCCTAAAAAAGGTAGGAGTGCTCAGTAAAGTGAAACGGTATTTCATACCAACACTTTTCTTGCAATAGTATAAAGCTCAAGCCCACCCACATATAATAATATGAATGAAAGAATACCGTTCCCACCTTTAGGTTAGAACATCACCTTGAGGTTGGATCGCATTCAATATTGGGCAGCTCTAATTATTAATGATCAACGCCTTACGACTCGACCCACTGAAACAGCATAAAGAAATTAAATCTCTATGCATCTTTTATTGAAAGTACCATGGGGAGTGTTCTCAAGAGTTCTGCTGCTAAATTTCACCATCGCATAACCCGCCACAAACTCGAAGTTTCATCCTAACAAATGATGAGTGGTGTGTTTTTCATCGTGTGTTTTCAATGTACTTTGTTCTACACACGAACTACCACGCTTTGAAGTCAACTTTCAATAGTAGTATTTCCAAACCGATATGACCTCATAATCTTCAAGAACATTCTTTTTTAAAGGCCGGCAGCACACCTGCAATAACTCAAGTGTTGCTTGTTCTCATAGGCGGTGGCAGTTACTCATCATTAGGTGAACCACATGCTCGTTTGCACCTATGGATATTACAGTGAAATTACAGAGTACAGAGGCATAAAACCTTAGTCCAAATGAGTGGCAACACATGAAGGGACTTTGACGTTGATGTAACAGTTTCTTTAGTAATCACCTAATAATTTTTCACCAGAAGGAGACTTTCTACAAAAATCATTTGTTTGGGTACCTCTCTTCCATTTGTGTTTTAACCGTGAAGCAATTGTGTTTACATGGCATGTTCGGTTTGAAGGATTTGAAGGGAAGGGATATGGCAATAATTTTACTGGGTACAGAGGAATAACACCTGAGTCCTCAGGAATGGCAACGCATGGGGGGTATCATGGGCGAAACAATATACTTTGTTATGTCCATGTTACAGTATGTTCATGTCTATAGGCGACGGTTACCACTTTCCATCAGGTGGAACGTCAGTTTGTTTGCCATTCTAAATTGTATAAAAAAAAGATATACCAGGTATTCTGGTTTATTCTAATCTAGATTTGTGATGTGAATTACGGCCTTTGATCTTAATTTCATGACGAATGCTGAATGAGTTCATAACATTCGCCTTTTTCTTTCAGTACCAAGGCGATGAAGTAATAGACACTGATCTCCCAACCCTTATAGAAGCTAAACTCTTCTGCACAACAGGCGGAAAATTGCTTTGGCTGTTCTTGCAGCCTTTCTTTTATGCACTGCGCCCACTGGTGGTGCGACCGAAACCACCGTCACCTATGGAACTTATAAATTTAATTATACAATTATTTTTCGACGCAGTCATAGTAAAACTGTTTGGTAAGTTATTTTGTATTTATATTAATCATTATTATATTTGTGTACATATATATGTATGTATGAATAGACCTACGCGTAAGAGAAAAAGGCATGAGTTTACAAATGCTGTGGGTCATACCTCATCTTTTGAGATGATTCATCGTAATATCCATTTCTACACAGTAAGCCAGTGTATTGTTAAGCTGGTTCAACTCTTAACCGCCTGATGTTTGCCCCAACACTAAATCAGCATGTGAACGAAATGAAATATACAATGATTTCTTATATTATTTTATTTAACTTTATTATACCAATATAGCTGTTAAAAGTTAACAAAATAATGTAGGTTTTAAATCTAAAACTATAATACTAAAAGAATGTGAAGAATTTTTGAAGTATATCTTATTTATTTTTTGTTCTAAGAAATTTGTCAAAACATTTGGAAAAGAATTGTGGAATTTAAATTAACAATTATCTTTTATAGGTTGGCAGGTGCTAGTATATCTAGTTGTAGGATCTTTGATGGCAATGGGAGTGCATCCAGTGGCAGGTGAGTTAAATTCAGAATTTTTACATTTTTTCTATTGTATTTTCTTATGATACGAAAATATTTTATGAAGTTTAAATAATAAGTCAATAATCTGTCTTATGGAAAGTGATAACCGTCAACAGTACCGTGAATATCATAAAATACGCGCGGTTTTACCACGCGGTTCCCCCTGGAAACGATGATAGATGAGGATGACCTGCCTTCATCCTCATCTATTACTGGTGCCTCGTATACCGATAGCGTAGGCGGGGTTACAATTCCATTTGCACCCATTAAAAAAAAAGACGGTTTATTACTAGCAATGGAATCGCCATGACTCCTTATTATATCTCACACTTTACACTGAAATGCAGCGATTAAATCACGGCTGTTTCACAGCAGAAATACAAGTGGGACAGATGTACCCATGCGGACAACTTTAGTACAAACTCAACGTCTAGTAAACTTGCAGTCATCGTTTTATTTTTATTGTTCACAGGCCACTTCATATCTGAGCACTATATGTTCCGCAAGGGTTTCGAGACCTATTCATACTATGGACCATTGAACTGGATTACGTTCAACGTGGGATACCATAACGAACATCATGACTTTCCAGCGGTGCCTGGGAGGAGATTACCTGAGGTTAGTATAACTTATATATATATATATATATATATATATATATATATATATATATATATATATATATATATATATATATCTATATATAATTACATGATATAAATATAGTGGAAAATATTCACAATTTGTAAAAAATATAAATTAAAATTTCATTTCGGAACTGTATAACATTAAAAATTATAATAAAGTAAAATTTGGAAAATAATACCAGGGGAAGGAATTAACCATGATAGTTTCCAGAGAGAACCGCGTGGAGGTCGACCTGATTGGGTATATTGCTAGCAATGGGATTCTCAGTCTCCATTACTAACAATCCCTTTCCCCCCACAACTTGAGTGTTCGTGAGAGAAAACCACACAGAAAACACAGTGTGTTCGACTATTTAGGTTCTAACATGTGAGGATGAATTCCCTGACGATGGCGAACAAGGCGATAATAAAAGGTGGCTGTTATGTTATTTTTATAGGTGAAACGGATAGCGTCGGAGTTTTACGATAATCTACCTCAACACAACAGCTGGACGAGTGTTCTATACGACTTTGTGATGGATCCAGACATTGGACCGTATGCGAGGATCAAGCGCAAACATCACGGTCTGGACAGCTAAGTGTATTTATATAGATAAAATGTATATAATATACTAGATAATTCTTACATGTATTAATCGTCATATATTATACGTTATCATTGTACGAGATGATAGGTGAGAATGCAGTCAGGTCATGGCCTTAGCATGAGTGCATTGGGCGCTAGGGTACATTGAGGGGCAATGCCCTACCTTAAAATAAAAAGCCCCAAGAAAATTATGGCTTCTGCCCTATCAAAAAGTGCTTTTGTCCTACCTTAAACTTGGGTCTAGCTACGGCCTTGAATTAGGTCAATTAACCCATCGTGACAAATTCATCATGAATTAACACAGGCAGTGTCTAGAATGAACGGCGTGGAAGTCGATCTGACAATGTCTATTGCATAGAACTACTCTCTAGTCCCAGTTACTAACAAACTTTCCTGCTGCTGTGTCGCTCATCACTTCCATCAATTAATTAAATAAATAGTTTATTATAGGTGCTGTATACTCTACTTGCACACGACGGCTAATACATGTATATCTAGATATTATAAAAATACGATAACGCATTTGTACCATGTATTTAAGATTTTTTATTATTGAGTTAAAACTGTTATAACAATGCATATATGTTATTAACCCTCTGACCACCACTCGATTTTCGCGTGCAGTATCTACTAGTTTAATTTTACGCATCCCGCGATTTCGACGTGCTCGCATTTTTTAAGTTTATTGACGTTGTTATCCCGCGATTTTTGTTTTGGTAGATAGATATTGTCTCTCAGAATCTCGCTAGATGGCTAAATACTCGTACTACTATTTGTTGCCAAAGCGATGTGCGAAAATGAAGCGAAAAAAATACAGGGTTAGAGGGTTAAGGCTTTTACATATGAATAACATGAGATTGCCTACCTGATGTAGATGGATTCCCTATAACAGTAAACATTGTAACAATCGACAATTGCGCGACATTTGCTGTAAATCTTAATAGCAATTTTTGCACATGCATTTAACCCATCTAACGCTCATTAAGCAAACGTGATATGTAATACGATTTTTGTTAATTAGCAATGTTCACGCAGTAAATACTGTTATAGGGAATCATTCCCCCCCGTAAAGGACGAAGTGATCTACGGATCGTTTTATTGCAGTGAGGCCCTTATTATGTTTTCAATTTGTTAGAACATCAATTATATAGCTATCTCAAATTGAGTTTAACTGAACGCAACGGTTTTCGGAACTGTTTTAAGGTCACTTTTCACGTTTGATGACAGTGTTTGTTGTATGAAATATAAAACTTATATGATGAAATATATAAATATGAAATTAATTTATACTGAAAGTTTTTTAATAATATAAAATAATATAATATAAAATAAATAATAATTTTATAATATAATATAAAAGAAACATATTTTATTAACTTAATTCAAAAAGTTGTTAAAATAATTATACGAACTCGAATAAGGTATGACCAAATAAAATTACAATTAAAGAAAATTGTTTTCTAAAACTTTTGAAAACTTAGATGGAGAATAGTATTTATTATCTATGTCTAAAAACAGCAACATTGGTACAATTGTCTTTTTTTTTGTAGTTTTCTTCATATTTTTTTGTATTTTCATTATATTATTTTTCCATAGTACATTAAAACCGTAGAAGAGAATCTATAAATAAAATAGAATTGAAAACTACAAAAGTTGACAGTAATTTACAATGTTGCAATATCTTGTAAACATATTTAACATTTATCTGAGTATATGCGATTATATTTTGCCTCCATTTTTTAAATTTAGACTTCATTACCTATTGGATCCTCCTTTTAAAATTTGTTTGTAATAAAAATATATTTTTTTGTTTGTACATAATGTTATAACAGTAATATATAATTTGCTGTATTTTTACAAAATGCTTATAGCTTTTAACTGTGAGAGCTACAACTATATAGTGGAGGCAATTTGAATTCATGCTTGAATTGTCTTTCTATCACAAAAATAGTATTACACACTATAATTAAGTCGTTTTATATTATTTTAATAATTTTTAGTAATTAAATTTTTCATGTTTTTGTTTCAGTGGTTAATTTTTAATATGCTCAAGTGATATTATTACATTTAATTGCATTTCTTAGTCGAATTTATGTATTAGTTACTAGAATAATTTTGAAGGTGTTTCGGGGTGTATAAGAGATGGGCATCGTCCGCTTTATTTGTCAAATTTTAAAGAAAACTAAATTATAAATTTATAGTTTAACTTAAATCTATTTATATCAATGTATTTAGTTTGAAATTTGCAAAGTATTGCAGATACTTCCAGTCTTGAAGGAAGCACCCTCTTAATAGTATTCAACTACAATATTTGAGTAATATAATTACATCTTTTATTTTTTACATTTGTTTTTGAAAAATGAGTTATTACACATAAGTATTGTTACCTATATTGATAAGTCTCTTGAACATAATTCAGGATTTTTTTTTAATTTATCGTTTACTTGTGGACCAAAGTATTTAATTAATACTTTTTGGAAATTAAATATAATTACTGAAATATATACATATATTGTTTAGAAATCATGTGTATACGTTTAAATTTAAATTTCAAAATGAATTTTAGTCATTGATAAAATATAGTTGTATCTACACCAATGCTTATATTTTAACATTATATAGATAATAGATGTTACAATTGAATATTTTTTTATATTTCTTAACTGGCTAAGATCTATTTTTATACTGGGTAAATTGTCGCTAGCCAGAATAAAATATTTGTTCCATTATACCAGTCATAAACGGTCTTTATGTTTTGTGCTTTAAATGGTGTAAAAGTTTATAATTTTTTTTTTTTTATTTAGTAATGTTCGTCTATTGTCATTTCTAAATCCGTAATAAAGTATAAGCTGTTTAACTCGGTTCGTGTAAAATTTTTACTGTCGAACTTATTAGTAACGATGAACTATCGATGTAACTAATAGTTTATAATTTAACTAAATCAAGTGCATAAAAATATGTAAGTATATAATACTTGAAAATCTTTTTTAAATACTGACTCTGCATTTGGAAACTGGATAATAATTATCTAGGCGCTAGTGGCTATATTCCATCAAATGGACCGTCAGTTTTTTATTATTGTTAATATTAGGTACGTACTTGTACCACGAATTATCTGTATTATTGAAAATACGATTGATCGTGCACGATTGTATAAGGTGTACTTATATTATTACAAAACATTCATATTGTACAAAGCTATATGTTTGTATTATATTATATTTCCATAACATGTTACCGATATCTACATCTACAATAAAAATATATTGAAATAACTATTGTTTCATTTAACATTACAAAGACTGAAGAAATTAATCTGTTTCTTTGTTGCCAAACTATCAATTTATCATTATAATATTGATCCATATATTCAAATAAATATGTATATCGAATAAAATTATATTTCGTCTAGAAAAAGAAACTTACAATAAATAAAAGAAAAATACGAAAGAATTTAATATATGATAAAAATATAATAATGAAAATAAATGAAACCCTTATCATTAAAAAGGAACCTATTTAAAAATAATAATAATAATGACAGATTTTACATTACTAGATGTTATATATTCGACACAGTTTATGTAGAAAGAATGCAAGCAGGTTGTACGACTGTATAACATTTTCAGGGGGACCACGTGGAAGTTGACCTGACAGGGTAATATACCTTGCTAGCAATAGGATGTAGTCTACTAACAATCCCTTTCTTTATTAGTATTAGTATTTTAGGATTAGTATTTTATACTAAGTATATAGTGGAGACAGTTTTACTAAAATGTAATTTAGAAAACCAAGGTTTTGAAGGTACACATGGCTGAATTAGGTAATAATTTTTAGGGTTCCGTATCTCTATAGGAAAAACGGAACCCTTAAAGGATCACTTTGTTGCCTGTCCATCCGTCTATCAATATCCTTTTTCTTAAGAACGCGTAGAGGTATCAAATTGAAAAAAAATATCATATACTAAGGTCTACAATCTCTTAAAGTGGTTAAAAATTCAAGTTTCTAAATTGACGCAATCAAAAGATATAGCCGTTTATGTTTTATTTATATCGCATATTTTAACTTTCGCTAAGTGAATCAAAACCTATAGGATACTTCCCATTGACCTAGAATCATAAAATTTGGCAAGAAGCCAATGTGTAGTTATTTAATATAAAAAAAATTATTTGATAATTTTGTACGAAACCCTCGTTGCGCGAGTCCGACTCGCACTTAACTGGTTTTTTTCATTGATTTGGCTTCTGGCTATGTATTGTCCAAGATTGCCTCTAAGAATTACGACGGCAGACCTTAGACAAAGAGTTTGCTATTCCTTGTTTTGTTCTTGTTCTTACATTGACATTTATAATGTCAATCATTATGACATTGACATACTGTTTGGAATGAGCACAATATTTCAGTTTCATATTGTTTTTTTTATTTTTAAAATAACATAGTTAATTAAAATATTACATAAATTAAAATAGTACATATATAGAATATATCATAAAAAAATGGAAAAACTTCCTCCAAAACCAAAGAAAAAAAATGTTACCAGAGAAGAGCTTTTAAACCTGGATAAAACAGTAATAATTTATTTTAAACAGTTATTGTAACCTCTCGTTTGCTTTTATGTACTGTATATTTCATGAATTTTACAGGAATTAGTTGAAAGACTGATACAATTGGAGGCACACAATTTACAATTAAAGAATATAATAGCTAAAAATTTGAGTGATCAATCTGAAAGTGAGGTAAATTTGAAGAAAAAGCCTTTTGATTTCACCAAGTAAGTCGGTCTTATTTTTGGTCTATCATGATTTTTATCTAGAAACACCTTATTATTATTTATACTATTATTATTTATTTATATTTAGAATTTTTTTTTATAATTTCCTCATTTATATTTGGGTTTTGAAAATATTATTAGACCACTGTATGAGTATGTAATCAATTAAATTCTATATTTTAAATTAAATATAATTTACTGTTGTATAATTTAACACTTAACACATACACATTTTCTGTCATTAATTGCTGTAAAATACTTCCCTACTATTTAAACAATTATGAGATAGTATTAATTATATTTCTAAATTCATTTGTAAATATGTTGAAAATACTTAAAAATGTACTTGTTGTTGTTAATGTTCCGATTCCGGTTATTAATCGATAAACACGTACATTAGTGAGCTCCGCAAAACATTTATAAAATCAGTGTAAATTGTCAGCAAACAACTGTGATTCTATAAACACTCAACACAATAATCACCAGCAATTACAACCAAGAAGTGATCAAACTGCAAGTACCAATACTTATGCGAAAAAACTTCAATTATTTATTTGTCCTCATAACCTTTGAAGTGAAAATCAAGCGTCAAATCAAGTGAGTACTACCTACCCACAAATTATTGAGAAAAGCATACATCAAACGATAGGTAACTTGTGACAATTAATAATTGTACTGCAGTGTTGCTAACAAAAAAAAAAAATCAAAAAATTGCCTATTGTGTGACCATAATCCAACTTAAGTTACCCTAAATTACCAAAAAAGCTCAAAAATGGACCAAAACGTTTTGGAGTTATTACTAACAAAACTTGATGAAAAATTAATTCAACAAACTTATACAATTACTACAGAAGTTACAAAAAGCGTTATGGTGGCATTAGATGAAAAAATAAATACGCTAATTGAGGAAAATAAGCATTTGAAAACTAAAGTAACATATTTGGAACAAAAACTTAAAACTATGGAAAAAGAAAAACGAATGAATAATTTGGTCATTTTTGGAGTCCAAGAAAAAGGAAAAAGTAAGGGTGAACTTGTTGATTGTGTAAAAGAAATTATAGAAGAATCGGGTATTCCCTTAGATAGCCAAGAAATAAGTAACATTTATAGGATTGGAGCGCCATCTACTAAAAATCGACCCCTTGTAATTTCGCTTACCACTGTATGGAAAAAACATCTAATATTGAAAAATAAATCTAGTCTTCCCTCAAGCATTTACATTAAAGAAGATTATACTAAGGAAGTGCTAGAGGTACGAAAACAGTTACAACCCAAAATGATAGAAGAGAGGAAAAAAGGCAATATAGCATATATAAGGGGAGATAAATTAATAGTAAAGAAACCAAATGATACGAATAGAGAGAAAAGAAAACGTGAGAAGACTGGGTCTCCTATTGCACAAGTACAAAAGAAGTTAAACGCAAAAGCTGCTTCACCAGAAAAGTTAATTGCTTCAAGTTTAAAGGAAATAATGAAACCAAACAATTTATTTAATTACATAAGAGGAAGATCAGCTTCAGTGTCAGAAACCCCAAAAAACTAGAAATGTCAACCTGGAACCAAAACAAGGAAAAATCTAGAACTAAATATAAACAAACATCTGAAAACCGCACCCCAAGCCGGCTAGTCACCGTGGGGGAAGACGACTACTACCCTCCAAGTATTCCACCTAAAACACCATTACACAACAAAAAAAATCCGAAAAACGATAATATAACCATATACATTGCAACATATAATACCCTCTCATTACGCACCAACGAAAGCTTAGCGGAATTGATGTTAGCATTGGAAAAAATAAACTGGACAATAGTAGGAATGAGTGAAGTTAGACGATTGGGCGAAAGTATAGAGGATCACAAACAGTTTGTATTTTATCATAATGGAGACACACCAGGACAATATGGAGTAGGATTTTTGATAAGTAAAGAACTAAAGGGATATATAGATGAATTCATTGGTATATCAGAACGTATTGCAATACTAAATTTAACTTTACCACACACCAATATGAAGTGGTCAATTATACAAGTTTACTCGCCAACAGAGCAATACAACAGTACAGAAATAGACTCCTTCTACTTCTTGCTTTCAAATGCAATACACAAATATACATATAAAAATTTAATCGTGATGGGAGATTTTAATGCCAGAATCGGAAATAGAAAAGGTGGGGAAGAACTGATATTGGGTCCTTATTGTTCAGGAAAACGAACTAGAAACGGCGAAAAACTAATTGAACTGGCATATGAGAACAACTTAAAAATACTTAACAGTCTGTACAAAAACAGAGTAAATAATAGGTGGACATGGATATCCCCTGATGGTCGCTATAAAAACGAGATCGATTATATACTAACCAATAGGAGTAAAGACTTTGAGGACTGTAGGACCATAAAAACTCTTAACTTTAATAGTAATCACAGAATGGTAAGAGCAAAATTAAACCTAAAAATTAAGAAAGATAACAGACCCTTTAAAATTAAACAATCAAATCAAGTAGAATCAGTGAATACAAAAGACTTAAACAATAGGTTAATAGATTTTATAGAAAACACAAAACAATTAAATACTCAGGACAGATACGATAAACTACAAGAAATCCTGAACAAAAGTATTGTAAATCGAAAAAATGATAAAATCCTTAAAATAAAATGGCTAACAGCTAAAACAAGAGAAATGATACAAACTAGAGCTAAATTACTAACTACAACTAATAAAACAAAAAAAGTCAGAAATGACATAACTGAGATTAGTAAAAAAATTAAGTTAAATATGAGGAAAGACCGACAAAATCACAGATTAAAGACAATGGAGGAATGCATTCAGAAGACTGGGGGCACAAAAAGAGCCACAAAACAATTGTTAGAAAAAAGGGATTGGATACCAAATATAGAAGGTGATAACTGTAAATCCGCAACCAAAAGATCAGATATACTTACAATAGCTACAAATTTTTTTCAAAACTTATATTCTACTAAGAGCTCTAATATGCAAAAAGACTTGACAAAGCAAAAGGATGTTCCAGAGATCTTGCTCATAGAAGTCGAAACAGTTATGAAATCTCTAAAGAAGGATAAAGCTCCAGGTCCTGACAATATCAGTAATGAATTTCTTATTAACAATAAAGATACTCTTACACCAATATTTACACATATGTTTAACGACATATTAAGAAGTGAGTCAATACCAACACAATGGACTATATCCACCATTATATTGTTGCACAAGAAAGGGGACAAAAGTAACATGAATAATTATAGACCCATAAGCCTTATGTCGAACATATATAAAATCTTTATTAAAGTTATTTTAAACCGCATAACCAAACTATTAGACGATAACCAACCAAGGGAGCAAGCAGGTTTCAGGAGTGGGTATTCAACTTTAGACCATATCCATGTTGTCAAGCAACTTTTCGAACAAAGTAAAGAATACAATATCACCTTTTACTGCTGCTTTGTAGACTATAGTAAGGCTTTCGACACCCTCGAACATGAGGCAATTTGGTATGCACTTAAAAATCAGGGTATTGATATTAAATACATCAGAATATTGAAGAACATATATGGAAACAGTAAAGCAAAAGTAAAGCTAGAAAAAGAAGGAAAGGAATTCAAAATAGAAAGGGGAGTAAGGCAGGGTGACCCCATATCACCTAAACTTCTGACCACATTCCGTATGGTGAGTGAGGGAGTCCGGAGGCCCATCCTATACCCATCCCCTTCCTTATCCTAAAATCCTCCCCCAACTCCGTCCCCCCATCTTTCAATACCATGGCAGTGGAATTTAAAAAAATTAACGTACCCCAGGGAGGTACCAGCAGCCATGTTGCTGGAGAATCCTCCCTCGAGCAACCACGCTCGGGCTGCCCTGCGTATTCTGGGGGGGGCAAAATTCCGCTCTATGGGACCAAGGGCAAACAGAGCAAGACTTCTGCGGCATCCCCTTTGCTCAATGTGAGCCTCTGTAATATTAGGGGAATTCATTCAAACCTGAACGCTGTCCACCACCACCTAGAAACGGCGCGGCCGGCATTGCTCTTCCTCACGGAGACACAGATATCCCCTCCTAACGAAACATCATACCTGACCTACCCGGGGTATAAGCTTGAACATTGTTTTGTTTCGCGTGCCGGTGTATGTGCGTATGTCAGAGAGGATATCTGCTGTCGACGCCTTGGGACTCTTGAAGGTACGGACCTGTCCATTCTATGGCTGCGCGTAGATTACAATGACCATCCCCGCATCTATGCGTGCCTATACAGGTCCCACAGCGGTAACACTGAAACCGACCAACTAATCGAGCACGTCCAAATGGCTACAGATTCCCTGCTTGAGCAGATTCCTTCCGCTGAAGTCGTGATTGTTGGCGACTTTAATGCCCACCATGCCGAATGGCTTGGTTCGCGTACAACCGACTATGCGGGAAGATCTGTTCATGACTTTGCTTTGGCTTATGGTCTGACACAGCTTGTTTCCTCGCCTACGCGAATCCCTGATGTGTTGGACCATTCACCTTCACTGCTGGACCTTCTGCTGACCACCCACCCAGACAACTATGTGATCTCCGTCGAAGCCCCGCTTGGATCGTCGGATCACTGTTTGGTGCGGAGCGAAGTGCCTCTTACGAGTCCGACTCCACCTCGTTCTACGGGTAGACGTCGCATTTGGCACTACAGGTCGGCAGATTGGGATGAGATGCGGATTTTTTTCGCATCTTACCCATGGAGGCAGGTTTGCTTCACACTGGATGATCCCGACGCCATTGCCGATTCCATTGCTGATGTGGTGCTTCAGGGAATGGAATTATTTATTCCTAACTCTGTGGTGCCCGTCGGCGGGAAATCCCAGCCCTGGTATGGAGCCTCCTGTAGAACAGCATCTCGTCTGAAACAGGAGTGCTTCCTAACCTGGGCTAAAGGTGTGGCGTCGCGAGATCCTAACACCAGTGCTCTTAAAAAGAAGTATAACTCTGCCTCTAGGTCTTTCAAAAGAGTT